ACAATACCTCTCTACAACAGGCCAACATTACTAAACTAATTTAAAAAACCTTTTACTTTCCCTATATAGATTCAGCTGTGACTAATTGGAGATACAGTTTAACTAGGCAAGTAGGGAACAAAATGCATAAGAAAAAACTTCCAACAATGACTTAAGTCATCCCATCAAAGTACTATTAATACACAGTTTGCGTACTGAAGAATCACAGTACTTTCTTTCCTTGATCCTGCTCATCAATGGAGGATGAAAGTGCTGAAAATAAAGAAATACTTTGCAATAAATAGAATACCTGCTGTGATGCTCTAAATAGAAGACCAGGAATATACAATTAAAAGTTTATAGATGATCATATAAAGATGTTACCTTGAGTTAATTTTAAATAGGAAAAACAGAATAATGTTATGGAAGGCTTGAAGACAATAATTGTTAAAAAGCTAAGTCCAGCATAAGGAACTAGTGAAAATGTTTACATCTCTCTGGTTCTATGCAATTAGAGGTCTCCCAAATAAAAGACATTGACAATGTGAATGCAGTATAGTGTTCTCTGCAACTGGTAAACATGTCTTTCAAGAGACCACTTTTTATCTACCCTGGTAAACAGCTGTGTTCAGTGATAACCTGTGACTTAGTATTCTATGATTGGAGTTCTAAACCAGAAATACCTAAACAACATCTGATGTTCAGAAAGTATTGAATATCCATGCTATGGAAACTAGGCACCTTTAATAACAGTCCAAAATTTACGTAAAAAAATGTGAGAATTAAAATCACAAACACTATTTCAGTGTTTAAGTAGGCAAAACCAAAAATAGCAGTAGTAGCCTAAAATTAATTTGCAGCAGCTTTTCAAACAGAAGGTAAAGAAGTAGTATTATCCAAAGAAAACAGATTTAAGTAGTTCAATCATGTTTCACAATCCTTCAAATACATACTTAAACTAGAAACAAAAGCCACTGATAATAATACAGTTAGAATGTAATAGTGAAGGAGAGGACTGCCACAAGTAAGACCTCCCAACAGTACTTTCCCTAACTTGAATCAGGTTTCCTGCCCCTTTCTCCAGCTACCTAGGCTGGAAATACTATCAGCTTCCGCTTCCCAAGGGCATGCTCAATATCCTAAGAAAAAGACTTGACAAAGCCTAAATCTAAGGGTGGCAGTTTTTTCCATTCCTTACAAATTTAAGATTTAGCATTCTTCTATTAACACTCCAGATTTTAAGAACTGTGGGTACAATGCTATACATATCACTTCCTGTATGAGCTCCTATCTTCGTTTCAAGGTCTCTACGAAGTTTTCTTATACATTTTTCAGTGTATGCAGAAACTTTTAATTTTAGTCTTTTAGCACACAACATGGAAGCACAGTTTAGTCTTCCAGACTTTAGTCATAGTTTAGTTACCACCCCTTTCTAAGATGATGAGGAGCCCCATCTTCTGGTAGAAACATTACTCTAGAGAGCTACATCCCTCAGCTGACAGCTGATTTTTATTTTTTTTTTTTTCAACTGTACCACTTGAAACTGTTTGGTTTTTTTAAATGCAGCCATACACAAAAAAATGAAGAGCAAATACTTTTAATGAAAAATATAAAATCCTCTGAAACAGTGCGTTCCTTCCTAAATATGCAAGATATTTATACAAACTGCTTCAGATGACCTTTTCTGACACTAGGCTGTTCTTCAGTCAACACAAACTGAAAACATCAACTCATTCTTCGCAAAAATTTTAGTATGACTGACACGGATTCATAAAGATAGGGTAAAGTGCAAATCTGGGAGAACATGAAAGAAGACTGTTCTTTTTGCCTGATTTAAACAGGATACATAAACACACTTAAAAAGTAAGAAACCATGTAATCAGTCCCATATACAAATTTGAGATATATACTTGTGTGATATGGATGATTTAGTCATAGTAGGTTTAAATGGGAACAAAGAAATTAAGATCACTAAATTAAGAGAACTAAACCAAGTATTTCTTTCTTCTCTGTGGAAAAAAAAAATAATCCTTTGCTACGAAAAATTTGAGGAAAACATTTAAGCACATAAGAACAGATAAAAGATTAAAAACTGTTTGGCTAAACACTACAAAAATTGTATATGCCTATATATCTTTTGATTTAAGCACCACTTAAACTGCCACCAGTCAGATTTGGTTAGACAGAACTGTCAATTCTGAGAAATTTCTACCAATATTGGACTCCTCAAAAACACAAACGTCTTAATTCATAGGCTGAATGTAAGGACTGAATCCAGGATACTGACACATAAAAACATTGACAGGTATTCATATAACTAACTAACTACAGAGGTTTGAGGCTCTGGATTGCTTACTCCCTCTGATCATACAGGAATTTTGGGCTTCTAACTGTGCTTTGAGTTTTATTCAAATCAAATGTTCAAAGTTAATAGTGCAAACATCCTGAGTATCTGCATGTTCCCACTAAAGGGAAAGAGGACACGCTTCCACTGCCTGGATTTAAACTAGTAATTCCAAGCAGGTGATTTTGGAAAACAACACAAAAGGTAAGATGTTGGAAGGTACAAGATCAGGGAAAAAAATAGTACATATACATCTGCATTTTCAATCAGTTGTTTTGTGCTTATACCAGAAAATGCAGAACTTCAGGCAGTGGTAGACAGCAAAAAAATCCCCAGAAGATAAACTACCGCTGTCACAGTCATTAGAGATTTATGGACTCGTGACCCTAGAAATTTAGTGAAATTAGTTTCAGAACATGAAGTCAATACTTATCTAACCGTGCCCTCTGCTGGCCTGAAACGTACTTGTGCAGAGGTGCACAGGAAAGGTGGTGCTGCTCACAACCATTTTATTAATAGCAATAAGAAGTATCCATAGGTATTTCTCTACAGGCTACATTCCAAAATACGGAAGTGTGTTTTAATATACTTTGTGCAGTTACATTATTACTTTATTAATGTTTTAGACTCGCGTGTTCTGAAGCATTGCCAAGATTAACACACTCTATTTACACAGAATTTCCATGGTTTGGGCACTTAAAGCAATTAAATTTCTTCAAAAACCAGCTTTACTGTTAAAGACTACATCCAATCAGGGGTGGTAACACTGCTTTAGAAAAATAATGTTTCTTTCTGCTGAGAAGACAAGACAGGCTATTATTTCATTTTTTTAATAATTTTACATTGCAATTAACAACTTTGATTTTAGACTGCTTAGCAAATTTAACACATCCGTAATTTCACTCATCAGTAAAATGAGGCTCTGGGATAGCAAACAAACATGAAGCATATGGTATGACACTTTAAGACAATGTATCTGAATATGACTTTTTGAAGTCAGAGGTGCATACAGTTTTGTACAATCCAAATTTAAATTGCTGCTTACCAAAAACATCCATCAGCATTTTCTGCATATCTTGATATTTTCCTTCTAAGTCTGGTCTTCAAGTAGCAGTCAAGATTTAACTTATTCAATATATTAAAGAACACTTGCAAAGAAAAACAAAGGTACTTTTTTTCCTCTAATCTTTAAGACAAAGATACATAAAAAGCTTGGGAAAGCAGATGAAGGAGGAATTATTCACAGTTCAAAAATATTCAGACTTTGACAGTGCGATAGGTTATGCTGACTACAGAACCAGTGAAGTTGTTATAACTCAGGAGAATGAAAGATAAGCAGTTGAGAGGAGTAACTTCTATTCACACTATAGATCTGGAGTTTTCTGTTCTGTGAGCACCAGTGCTTTTAAAGACATTAAAGAGAAAAAAAACAAAAACTGTCCAAGATTCAAGAACATCACTGCTTCAAAGATGCAAAGGCAGCACACATTTCAAAGCCCCATAGCAAAACTGGAAAAGGAGGAGAGAAAAGGAAAAAAAATTCTAAGAAAAATCATACAAAAGCCAAACTAAATGAAACTCAGTTCTTCACTACAAATTAAACAGCAAAAGAGTCAAAGAGAAAAAAAATTAAACCCCAAAATTTTAATAAAATTATTTAAGATTGTTTCCTACATGATATCAGAATTCAAATTCTTTTTTAAAGTTCTCTCCTCTCCTTTGGTTCTATAAGTATGCCAATACAAAGGGTGTTCTTGCCTCGTTACTTAGTAGGACTTAAATGAAGCCCTAAATTTTAGAACCAAGTTTTAAACTAGTTGTACCTACTATGTTAAATATGCTAGATACAGTAAAGCATGCTTTCTGTGTGCTCTTATCAAAACTATCTTCCTGTGTAAACCCACTCCAGAAGATTATTATTTGAACCCAGAGGTGGCATTAGCCCTATATCTGGGAAAGCATACACAAAATATTTTTATTAACCATTGTTAAAGTAAGACGCATTGGAGTGACTAAATTAAGAAAGAACTGAAGCCAATTTCACTAAAGCTAGAAGAAAAATACACTTTAAGTATTGAGCAATTAACCCTTGAAACAAAATTTACATAAGACTCCTTAGACCATGACAAGACACCTTTCAGGGATGCAAGGCCTGCCACATGACTTCAGATGAAAATCCATCTGACCTGACGTACCTCCTCCATCATTAGTCACTTAGGCTTGTCAGAAAGATAAAGTTCCTCAAAATACTATTCCAGTGTTGGCAGTCAGTTGTTTAATAATTTAATGCAGAATCTGTATCCAGACCATAGTGCTTATGGCCAGTGTGACATTAAAAATTAGGAAATAATGAAAACCTAATGTTAATACAGATCATGAGAAATTACCTTATAGAAATCTAACTTCTTAAGTTAAAATCTAAAACACTGACATGTCTAACACCAAAAAAAAAAAAATCCACATTCCAAAATAATGGAACTAACTATAGGTATAGGGAAAGATTAAGCGGCAAGTTTATAATAGGGTCTTGTACTGCAAAGCATCTCCTCAAATTCTGAATACAGTGGAAATGTTAAACACACATAACAAGCAAAGATGTTATTCCCAGAAGATCATTATTTAATACAGTACTTTTAAGTCTGATGATTGGTCTACAAAGCATCTTGTTTTACATTACCTTGATTGTTTTATCCATAGAAGCTGAAAGAAGCATGTGACTTTGCTCTCGTACAGGACACCACTGGATTTCATTAACAGGGCCACAGTGTTTAGACATGTAAAATATTAAGCTTTTGGGGACTTCAGTTAACTTATATTTTGATCCCAAATATGGCTTAATTAATTCAGAGATCTTGCTCCAAGTTTGTGATGTTAAACTAGGGTTATCAGGAGAGCAAACTGAGCTATCTCTCTGATCAGATTCTTTTTTTTCAGGCATACTGGAATTTTCCTGACGCAATCTTTTAGGGATATATGGTCTAATGCCTTTTATAGCAGTAGTACTGTCTTTATGTATTCTCTTCTGGGAAACAACATTTCCAGAGTTTATTGAAGAGCTTGATGTCTGTTCATAGTTTTTGTAGGACATACATAATGCAGTATGGCCACAGTATGGTCTCCTACAATACGGAGATGTCAAATCAGCGTTATTATTCTGTGCATAATGCTCAGGGGGATCTTCACAAACAGTGCTCGTGCCAGAACTGTCAGCGTTCTCAGTAGGCTGCATTTCATATGTAGATTTTGTACCCAAACCACCAGGTGCAAAGTACTGAACGCGATTCACAGATGAACTTGGATGGCTTGTTTGTCTGCTAGAAGTACTGGGGACTTCAGTCTTGCCAGTTTCTGTCTCAGAGTCTGAATCATCATAAGCAACCAGTGATGAATTCATTATGGCTAGACACAGGAGACTCCAGAAATCTCAGTGCTGAAATCCTCCAAAATTATGATCTACAATAAAGAATTAATTATTTAGAGCAGAATTTATTACAGACTCTACAATTTGAGTAACTTAAGCATATAAATATGCTTTTCTTAACAAAAAAGCCGTAACTTTTGTTCCCATTTATCAATGGAATGTATTCCTCTAACACATCTGTATATTCAACTGCACAACACCATTTGCCTCCAAGCACTTTGCATACATTTTTAATGCACTGCAGAGATGCATTTGCATACCACAAAACAATGAAAACAAGTATGAAAAGGAAAACAAACTTGAAACACAAGCACTGAAAATCACTTCAACCTTACTTGCAGTAACACACACAACACACAGTGTTGTGGTATGTACATTTATACAAATACTACAGCTATTTTGAAGTCTGTTAAGAAATAGATATTGTTAGACTGAACTGATAATTTGAAAGAAGTATGAAGAGGGTCCACTGATAATTAAAAAAGTAAATACATTTTTGACCCATTCAGCAGCCTTGCAGTATGAGGAAATTTTCCAACTACATCCACAGAGCAAATTCCACACAGCCTTTCGTTTTACAGCACAGACTTACACCAGAAACTACACTGAATTTCCTATTTGCATTTACTTACAGAAAAGTAAGAGCATATATGCTTCATCTACTGTGGAATAATTTTTTTCAAGTATCTATAAGAAGGAAATCTCACACTGAGACTAAGTACATAACATGCTGAATAACTCACCACCGTAACAATCTCACCAAGTTTCTTCCAATAATTTGGATGGAGCATAGGGTTAACTAGATTCAAACAACTGATGTGTCTGCAAAAACAATCTTTCAGCCTCTGCTGTTTATAATCAAAAAGTACTGCTATCCTTCAATTGCTAAGATTGATTGAATAGGATGTTTTATTTCTGCTTTGTTTCCTTGCCCAGCTGTTAGCACTCCTTATGCTAAAGTGATTTAACCCACAACACTTTCACATCATCTGCTGGAATTCTAGGTTGAAGTCAGCAAAGAAACTGCCCTCAAAAGCAACCTAACTAAAATGGGAATGCTACATTAATTCAGTATCTATGTAAGCATTTGCAGAATTGATGTCACAAATGTAGGACCTACAAAAACTACTGCAGGAGTAGTAATCTGAAACTTGTAAAGGCTACTCATTTAACTTCAGAATTAGATCGATTTGAACTATAACAAGCATGTTTCATTTAACCTACAGAAGTGTTACATTAGAGGCAATGATCTGTATTCTGTAATGAAATTTCCAAGAACAGATCCAGAAGACAGGTTCCTATTAAGACATACACCTTTGTCATCATACAGCCTTTCCAAGATAAGCAAATAAGACATTTAACTGAAACAAGGTGACTAATATTTCAGCACATAAAAGCATCAAGATCTCCCTCTAGAGGACATTTTGTCTTTATCTGAAGTTAATGACAGCTGTAAGTGACAGCAACGGTGTCAAGGAAAAAAATTAACTACTGTTTAAAGAATAAAGACCATGTTTCCAGAAAGATTAACTAACAATTCAGTTCAAAACCAGTAAATTTTAGCACTAAATTGAAACCTTTTACCATATAAATAGTAACTCTGAAGGACCGCACTTCAATAACTGCAACAAGTGGTGATATTTGTATTGCAGTGCTGAAAACAGGCCTCAGCCAAAATGCATCATGTTCAAAGAACAAACACTGTAAGAAGTTGACCTCTGGCTGAAAGCTATAAATGAAGATACACAAGTAGATTGGGTTAGACTTCCAAAGTTACTTTACTTTGTTTTAACACAAAATAATTTAAGCTGAGATTCAGAGGTAAGTGAAAAACAGTGCCTTGCACACAGCAGGTTAAAAACATTTCCTATGAGATCTTAGAAAAAAAGTATTCCATTATATTTCAGCACCATAAACCCATCCCATCACACACAATCATCCACATGTGTTAGCATTTTTGTAAAAGCAAATCGTTTGTCAGCTTAAGACTTCCCATTCATCTTCTGTTTTTAAAGAAACACCATCCCAACATTTCTTATGCTGCCCTAACTAAAGAAAAATGCAGTGAAAAAAAACAGAGCGTACTTCACTGGAAACATACTGTAACTAGACCGTGAATTTATTAACAATATGGTTTACAATGTACCAGCTAAGAGGAAAGCTCATAGAGTTCTCATTTTCTTTCATTTTTCACACAACTGATTTATCCAAGAGTATTAAACCAAAGTATGGCACGCAAAACACCGCCCGCTAAGCAACCGCAAACTTTAAGAGACAAGACATAAAAGCTGAGGGCAGCACTGTCGGACGCTCATGGCGGGACTTGGCGGCGCAAGCCCCACGGCCCAGGCCCGGTCAGGCGAGAGGCCCGGCCGCCTCTCCGGGGGCTCCCTCGCTCCTCGTGCCCCACAGCCCCCAAGGAGGGAAGCACGACACCCAACCGACCGCCAGCGCGGCCCTCCGCAGCCTCCACAGCGGCAGCCCCTGCCGAGGGAGCGGGACGGCGGTCTCCGGAGGACCCTGGCACCCAGGCCGTTCCCTTCCCCTCTCCTCCGGCACCGTAGCCGTTGCCGCTCCCCATACACGCGCACTCTCCCGCCACCCCCCGGGCACCGAGACCATTAGTGGGGTCACATCCACTGCGGCACCGCCGCCGCTACCGCCTTCCCCCCACAGAGCCTGCCCGCGGCACCCCGCGGGTACCTGCGCCGCACAACCCCACCGGCAGCGCGGCCCGGAACTCACCGGCCAGCCCACGGCGGCTCCGCTTTTAAAAGTGCGCCGGGTGGAAACAAGGCGCTGTGCTCAAACAGTTCCGTGTGCCACAGCTGCCCCGCGAAGACTAAGTGTTGGGAAGGGCAGGGTCCAGACCACGGCTCGCTGGGCTTGTAGGAGCCCTTCTCCTACCGCTGTGGGTGATATGGAGGGCGCTTCGTTGGGCTGGTGACTGTAGGGGAAGGGAGGGCAGTGGGAAGCAGGGTTCCGGGGGTGTGCGTTTCCCAGCCGGGAGTTGTGAGCGCCGTGCCGGCTGGGGGTGATGCAATGGCAGTGACAGGGGAGCCGTGAGGGGAGCTGCGCCGAGCCGGGTCAGGCTGGACCGGTCAGAGTCGGGCCGGCCGTCGGCGAACGGGTGAGGGCCGGGCCGGAGAGGGGATGGGGCCTCGGTGAGAGACCCCGACGGGCGTGTGAGGGGCTTGCCGGGGGGCTATTGCCGCTCCCCTGGCCGGTGCGGGGTGCTGGGGGTGGGGGTCTGTGCTCGGCACACTTCATCCCTCCCTTAGCGAGACGTCGATGCGCTGCTTAAGGGCTTTTTCTTCCACAGCCTCTGGGGCCGCAGCCCCCTTGGCTATTTCGCCAGTGCGTCAGGAGAAAAAGCCTTGCCTTGGGAAATGGCGGGGGGAGAGGGAGAGTCCTGGACTCTGGAAAATGCGGCCCAGCCCAGGGATGGCAGAGCTGGCCTTGCCAGCCTTTGCCTTGCCCAGGCAGGCGTGTGGTAGGGGAGTGTTGCAGGGCTGCAGTGTTAAAAACAGTAGCTTGCTGGTTAATTTTATGTATAAGCACTCCAGCACAGGAGCTTAGCTCTTTAAAGCTGTAGTACAGTAAAGGTTCATATTGGATTTTCTTCAGATGAGAGTGGTTGAGTGGTCATCATCTCAGGGAATCATCTTGTACACTTTAATTGTATTTCATACATAAATTGGTGATTACCATGATTGGGGAGGCAAGTCCACTATAAAATATAGCCTGTGCTGGAGGAGAAGATATATTTTACATGATATCTGTGTGCACGCTACCTGCTTTAATTTCACTTTTTGTTCTATTTCCAGGAGGCAAAACAGCTCTCAGGAACATAAGTGCTGTCAGACAAATTCACATTCTTTTATTCATTTCTGGGGGACTTTTGTATCACTGTTGTGTTTGGAAGTCTTGATACACCTTCATGCAATGTTTGTCATGGAAGAGCTCTTTTTAACATAATGTGAAACCCTGTTCTTTGATTCTCAGGTCTCTAACTTACCAAATCAGATAGCAAACAGTGAAAATTATCATAGATCTGATTGTCATCAGACTGGGAAGAGAGGAGAATACAATTGTCTTTTGATACCTGTGCCAAGAATTATTTTTGAGCTTTGTCTTATGATGATTTAATACTCTGAAACAGTCATGAGAGCAATACCCGTTACAAGTTAGTATGCATTTCATAGATAGAAAAGACACACAATTCTTGGCTTTCAAGTTCACACTGTGAAACTGAAGCTTTTCAGTTCATCTTAGATTCTGGTCCTAAATGTCTTAGTAGTCCATTCTCAAGCTCCCATGTATCCTTTTTTTCCTTCAAATCTGTTCGCATATAGTATCTGAGATTGTTAGTTTTCATAATATCAATAAGAAAGCAAGAAAAAATGTCCTGATAAAATGCAGAATATACAGATATTTCTTTTAAACCATTTACATCTGCATTTATGAATTTCAAAAGATAAAGACCTGTGTTCCATACTACTGAATTGCTGGCTTGAATTTCACCAGCAAATAAGGACAGTACCGAGGTAAATAGAGATAAGTTTTAGGTAGCAGTCAATATCTTTTGCATTCTGTGATTGTAATATCCTCATCTCTTGTTGCAGTGACTAAATTACTTTCACTATTTAATGAAAATGCACCTTCATCTGGGATTCTTTGCTGAACTGAAATCCATAATATTTCAAACTTTTTAAAGAGTCTTTCTGTTTTACTGCTTTCCAGTATGTGTGCTCAGTCTCAGCTGTGACATTTCAGCCTTTCTGAATGGAGGTAATCTATCATTAAGAACGTACGTTCAGGAATTAAGTTAAAACACCAAGTCACAATTTGTTTTACACCAAAGAATAATTCTTGTTTACCTTTTTCTATTTTGTAAAATTTGAAGCCAATAAGTATCACTGGCATATTCCTACAGAAAGGGGGTGTGTTAATCTTCTTAAACATTTTCTAATCTGAATTTACTCTGTATGCTTTCTTTCTGAGTTAAATATCTTGTGCCTATGAAAAAAGAGGTAAACACTAGTATCCAAATAAAAGAATATAAGTAAATTGTAGGAATATGTCAAGTAATTGTTTGATATGTTTCAAATTACCCCTTTATTTGCAGTTGGAATTTTTAAGTTTTTAAGGGATTGAGTTTAGGTTAAAAACTGAAGTATTAGTGATAATGCAGTAATCTTAATTTAGTCAATTGTGTAATCTAAGTATGGTATCAATGTTTATAGACTAAGCAAATTAAATTAGCAAGTGGATGTATATACTTTCAGCTTTCTCTGGGTATTCAGCTGAAGCTGAAATCTGGGAATATTGCAGCTGTCTGACAAACAAAGCCTTAATAATGTTTTGGTAGCCAGCAAGTTACCAAATCAACCTTCTTAAGTTTTCTAGGCAAGTGAAGGCTTTTTACAGTGGCAGGTTAAATATATACTATGTAAATATAACTAAGGGTGTGATTACGATGATTATTTTATAGAAGGAAGGCTCTGAAATAGCGCTGAACAGGTAATGCAGCTATTATATGCTTATGTTTCTTCTTTTTCATTTCTGGGAAAAGGGAGCCAAATGAGCATGTATTTTTATTAAGAGCTTTTATGATTCACTTCAGTTACATGTGTATCTTGTAAACTCAATCTTTTCATGCTCCATGTGTAGCAATGAGTCAGTAAAGTGCTAGGGAGTCTCTCCAGAGAGACATAATCCTGTGCAAGTCAGTAGGAGTTTACATGGGCACAGAGTTCTTTCTTCATGGCTATGGGTATGACATGACAGAGAATGCTCTAGGGTAGATGCTGTGTTTCCAACATACCACTGTTTGCAACTCAGTATGAAATTAATCTATTCTTTCAATGCATTGCATTTGTCACTGTCACATCTGAATACAGTACATGTAAAATAAGCATCGGTTTATGAATTAAGATGACATCACGTTCCTCAAGTAAAGAAGCTATGCAATAGCTTGGGGTGATTGCGTAAGTCAACCACATCTGATTGTGAGGCAGCACTTCACAACCCTGGCCAAGTTGTAATGATAGCTTTAATGGAAAATTTACTTTTCCCTCAGTTCACTTTTGTCATTAGGATCTGCACTGTTATCTCATTTTAACAGCCTCAGATTTTGTGAAATTGTTTTCTAATTCTCTATATGCTTCCCTGTGTACCTTGTTATAGTAGTATGTTCATCCCAAATGGATTCATTTGAGATAGTTGCAGTTTCACTTACAATGTTGTTTTTCTAACAGATGGTGTCCTCCTTACCCATTTTTAACACTTATTTTCTTCTATGTAAATATGGCAAGCTCACTATAGCCAGAACCATAATGGTTTTAAAACTCTCTTCCCATATCAGGTTAATGCTTGTTTATCTTCAGTTCTGGATATTTAAACAGCATGATGCTTGAATTTTTACCAAAAAAAAAAAAAGATTCAGAGCATATGTAGTTCTAAAGACCTCATAATTTTGTTCAGAGAGCTGAGCATGAATAATTTTTTGAAAATAAGGGTTTCTTAAAATACAGAATTTCTGCCTTTGCAGTTGAAATGAGTTTTCACTCATGGCAGGTTGATGAGTTTCACCTGATTTCTTAGACATAAATAAAACTCTAGTTTTAGGTCAGAGATTATCAGAAGACAATTTATCAGGCAATTTTAGAAAAATCAGAGGAAGGAATTGCTGTGCCACCTATATGAGAGGATGTGTAGTAAAGTATGAGTTAAATCAATGCAATCCATGTTACAGGATTTCCCTGTCTTTTAAATTACTAGGAGGTGTTCAGTGTATTCATAAAAATTAAGTACAGAAGAGCTTGTTTATAACATTTTCAGTTATGCCTGATGGGACAAAGATTAAGATATTTCTAATGCAGAATGAAAATTATTTTAATGCATTTGATAACAGAAACTCTATGCTTACTTAACATTTTAACAGCATTATTTAACTTTCAGTACTTTCTGTGTTACTGTACTGTAAACTATGCAGTTGTAGTTTTCCAAAGTCTTGGTTGTTGTTAATTAATATACTGCTAAGAAACTTTCAGATGATGTTATCGTTAATATATGCAACATTATAGATGTTAGCCTGGGAGAGAGGTCTGTGTGTGGAAGCATGGGTGCGCTCCATGCTAGGAAACTCCAGTGATCAAGGTATATGTTGCACATAGGAAGACTGCTGTGTTATTACCCTTGGTCTCGGTATTACTCTTGTTATTACATCATCTTAAGCTGTCTCCTAGGGTTATTTTTCCTACGTACTGCTGAGAAACAGTTCCTTAAATTTATAGCATTACTTACCCAAGGATTGATTGTTCTTCAGAAAACAGCATTTCTCACTAATCATGTGTGTTTTGTGGCCTCTGGAGGAAAGCAGTAAAGAAGATGACTAAGCTTTTCTCTTGTATATCTTTCTTTGGGATGAAGTGCTATGCTACATATATTAAGACAAAATTCCATATGAAAGTTATTAAAAGCTCATTTAGCATTTGACAGGGTATCAAGTAGTGCAAAAACATTAATCAGGAATGGGATAACCTCTACCAACTGTTCTGAGATGCTCTGAATTATACATATATTTAATTTTACTTTTGTCAGGAGTTTGACTTTGAAAAGGTGTTCTACTGTTAAATACATAGACAAACATTAAGAGTGATCTCTGAATTTATTTGGTACTCTTGTCAGTCTCAGTCCATTTCTCTATGAAACTGAAGCTCATTGTGTTAATGTCTCCACATTTATCAATCTGATATGAATAGAATTCGGTATGGGATCAGTATAGTTTCTATATTTTTATTCTGTTCATCAAATCTTAAAGATATACATAAAAGAATAAAAACACTATTTTTTGCCCTACAGTTCTCTGTGTTGCTGCTGTTTTGAATCTACAAGCCAAGGAATTAGAAGACATTAAATTTAGTTGAATTGTAAATAAATAGATCTTTTGAAGTCTCACAAAATGGCTGATAGTCCAAACTGTGATTTGAAATCTCTGAGTCCGCTTCAGCTGTTTGAAAGAGTAACTGAACAAGGAGAGAAAGTCAGAGCACTCAAAGCCGGAAAAGCAGCAAAGGTATTTCTGTTTCATGTTTTGCAAGACCTTTTTCAAGTTAGGTCTGTCTTTAACAGTGCCAGAGAATGATTGTTCTGAGATCTATTTTGCATTACATTAAGAAAAAAGTCTTGTTAAAAAATATTTATGTCCATTGTGTGAACTGTGGACATACCTGGAGCAAGATAGTCACCAGCAAGAGAAGAGTTTTTATTCCTGAAGTAAGAACAGAGAATCATAGGCTTACAAGTCTGCTTCAGCCATTTACCATGCTATGCGACAAGATCCAAGGCATTTGGTTTTCAAGTAAAATTTATATCACTTGCATTCTTCCCTGGTTTTAGATGCTTCTTTAAAATATTTTTCTCCATGAATTATTGTACACATTAGCAAATATATCTTCCTGTAACTTCACTGACAGTCCCTGCTTAATCTCCTTTAAGTAATTTAGTAATTCGCCATTAATTTCAAATTCCCTATTCTGTCAGTTTTAATATGGGTTCACTTAGAGTAGTGCCTCTAGGAGTAAGCCTAGAAAACTGGGAGTTGAATAAAATGTTGATCTATTTATTGCTTGCATGAGATGTTACAATAGTTTTGTATTAAAAAGGTCATAACCATAAAAATTGTAAAGAATTTTTTGTCCTAGTTTCAAGTCTGTCAGTGAACTGTAATGAATAAATTATTTTACGGTGAGCCACTAAAAGCATTTTAAAGTATATTAGGTAATCATTTATATCATATTTGAAATTTGTGCTTAAAATGTTAAGCTTGTTATACCTCTGAAAAGCAGGCAAGCATTTTTTTTCCTCAGGCAGAAATTGGTAAGTGAGAGAGGTGCTTTAAATATCTTGGTAATGGTGATTTTCTATATTCTGACGATTAGGAAATGATTACATGCGATTTGCTTTTCTTCTGCTTTTTGGCAGTGATGCTGCAAACATGTAAATAAAGGCTTAGAGTTTATGAATAATGCAATTCAAGTCAAAGCATGTATGCAGGATTTTGAAAGGTCAGGACATTAATGTAACTGTTTATCTTAAGTGTATTAAACACATATTTTTTCCTTTATTCAGGATGAAATTGAAGCAGCAGTGAGGATGCTATTATCATTAAAACTGTTATATAAAACAACAACAGGACAAGATTACCAGGCAGGTTTGCCTCCAAGAGATCTTGTATTAATAAACAATGGTACAAGTAAAGAAGAGGATGAGGATTTTGTGGACCCCTGGACTGTGCAGACATCAAATGCTAAAGGCGTGGATTATGACAAACTCATAGGTATAACTCCTAATTCACTGCTACTAACGAATTTATGTAAAGTGATCCTAATGACCACAAAACCAGCAAGGGATCATAACAAATCCTGATCAAAACCATCATAGGTAACATTTAATTTATGTCTAATCTTAGCATTCACTTGTCTAAAGAATTTGCCATAGGACTTGATTTCCACAGGCAGGGATTTCCTGTGGAAAACTTAAATACTTTGCAAAGAACTTTTCCATTTAGAAAAGACACTGTGACTGAGTATCTGCATCTTTAGTGGCTGTGATGCAGAACAACTAGAGCCTGGAGCATTCTGGCCAGGCTGTAGGATTCTTCCTACCATCTCTCCATATCTGCTTTGACTTCTGAATTAGGGAGAACGGGGATGATACAAAATTAACACAGAAATTTCTAAGTGTAGTGTCTTCTTCAGAAGACGCTATCAAGCAGCCAGGTTCTGGTTGGGATGAAGATATACCTCATTGGAAAAATGTGCAATGTAATGGGAACTATTTTAGACAGAGGTGTTACAAAACTTGCTAAGTTTTTCTGATTTAAGAAACAGGGGGTTATTTCCTTATTTGTTTTACAGTCCGCTATTTTAATAGCTTTTTTGAGTCTAGCTTAGAAACATGTGAGAGAAATATTCATTATTTTTTGTTATTTCTGCTTTTTATAATTATTGTAAGTCTTCAGATCATATTTAGTACCTCAGTTGTATATTGCTGGTGTCTGCATACTAGCTTGTTTCTCACAACAGAACATACACTCTTATGTGGGAGTAATCATATATTTGCTTTTGGGAGCTCAGTTGCTTGTGTCGTCATTTTTTTAACTCTCTGATGTTATTGTAAGATAATGTCAAATGTATGTGCGTATTGGCTTAGTCTGCAGAAGGTAATAGGAGAAAGAAAAAGTTGGAAAGGGAGAAGTGTACGAAGAAAAATATACCTCAGTGAGGGAGAATGAAAAAAGATGATTGTTAGAATCTAGAAGTGGATAAGATCTCTCATCATGTTGTTACTTGTGTAGGAGGTATGGAGAAGGTTTTTTGTTTTCTTGGGGGTGTTGGTAGAGAAGTGGGAAGAGTAGAATACTTATGTTGGCCCAATCTCAAGGTCTTCCTGAGGGTGACTAACGTGACTTCACTGTAAATCAATTCTCTAAAGCCATGTTAAAGCCTGACAGCAATGCCCTTTTTTCCAGTAGCTGTTTGTGTGTGTGTGTGTGTGTGTGTGTGTGTATGTATGTAGAGTGATGGGTTAGCCTAAAGGGTTTTTACTTATTTACTCAACTAGCAGATTGGGGAATTTGGTAGGTGAGTAATTTTGCTTGTTCTAAGTGATGTACTGGAAATTTTTCAAAGAGTGCTAGCCTAGCCACTTCAGGAAGTGAGATGGTTACTGCTTATCATTGATAAACTTCCTCTTCTTACTTCACTTTTCAAAAATAATAATAAAAAGTATTGTCCAAGAACTTGACATCTGATAGCTCTTACTGTTAAGGAAATTTTTGTGCCACCTATAATCTGTTTACTAGTGGTACCAGAGAAAGTTGCCATTGTGCTTGTGTTTACTCAAACATAGAAGAAATTAAAGTGCTAAAAGCACTATGCAATTGAAAGGGTTATTCTTCTCAAATAGTTCTCCTAGACATGCACTTAAGTGTATGGTTACACAACAAAAGTGTAATAAAAGCCTGAAGACATTCTGGGAAGAAAACTCTGTTAGCCAAGTACTAGACATGAACGTCCCTAGAATATTGTATTTTTTTTGAGCATGAGCAAAGAGCAGAGGGTTACGTGAGAAAGAGCATTATATGCTAACCATGCTGATAATTTGATGAGCTGAATATTGCAAGTGATATAAAATGGTTGAAGTTCTCAGGGATTTTTGTAGATCGTCTAGTCAACTCCCCTCCTCAAAGCAGAGTCAAATAGAGCAGGTTGCTCGGGACCTTTTCCAGCAGGATTTCTGTTATTTCCAAGGATGGAGATCCTATGACCTTCCTGGGCAACCTGTTCCAGTATTTGACCATGTGCACAATATGAAGGGTAAATGGAATCTCCTTTATTTCAAATTATGTCCACTGCCTCTTGTCCTTTCACTGGGCATCACTGAGAAAAGTTTGGTACTGTCGTCTTTACTCTCCTGCCACCTCCCCTAATCACATAGTTATACACACTGATGAGATCCCTCCTGAGCCTTCTCTTCCCCAAGCTCAACAATCCCAGCTCTCTCAACCTTTCCTTGTATGACAGAAGCTCTAAGCCCTTCTTCTTCATGGCCATTTGCTGGATTCACTTCAGTATGTCCTTCTTATGCTAGAGCCCAGAACTGGGCCCAGTGCTCCAGGTGTGTCTCATCAGTGCTGCATAGAGGAGAAGGATCACTTCCCTTGACATTCTGGCAGTGCTTGTTCCTAATGCAGTCCATAGGCCTTTGACCTTCAAGTGTCACAGAAGTGAATTGCTGGCTTACGTTCAATTCCTTGTCTACCAGGACAAGGGTCCTTGTAGTGACCCCAGGGTCCTTGTCTGCCAAGCTGCTTTCCAGCCAGTTGGACCCCTGCCCAGTGTATGGAGTTATTCCTTCCCATATTCAGGACTTTGCATTCGCTTTTGTTGAACTTCATGAGATACTTGTCAGTCCCATTTCTCCAGCCTACTGAGGTCCCCCTGAATGGCAACACAACCATATGTTGTATCAGCTACCCCTCCCAGTATTGTTTCATCTGCGAATGTGCTGAGGGTATACTCTGTCCCACCATCCACATCATTAATGAAGATGTTAGTATTGGCACCAATATCAACCCCCAGGTTACACAAATACACAAAAAATATTGGGCTCCAACTGGACTTTGTGCTGCTGGTCACAACCCTTTGAGCTTGATGGTTCAACCAGTTTTCAGTTCACCTTATACTGTCCACTTAGCTAGTCCAGACTTCATCAGTTATCTATGAGAATGAGATGGGAGATGGTGTCAGAAGTCTTATTAAAGTTGAGATAAACAATATCCACTGTTCTTGCCTCCTCTATTAGGCCAGTCATCATCACAGTAGGCTATTAAGTTGGTCTGGCATGATTTCCGATTCATAAGTCCATGCTGACTACTGCCAGTCACCTTCGTGTTTTTAATAATGTTTGGGAATGTTTTCTACAATTATTTGTCCCATCCCATGCCCAGAGATTGGGTTGAGGCTGGCCAGCCTGTAGTTCCACAGTTCCTTCTTCTTGCCCTCCTTGAAGGTAGGAGTGGTATTTACTTTCTTCCAGCCCCCAGGAACCTCCTCCAGTTGCCATGATTGTTTAAAGATTATTGAGACCAGCCTGGTCAGTAAAGTTATTGTGTAACAAATAGGTTATTAGTTTTCTGTATGTAAATATAACATGGCAATGGCAAAGAGGAAAAGTACACAATAAATTTTCAGTAAATGCAAATATGCTTTTGAAAATGCCAGCTCTCAGGACATCTTATTTACAGGGAGGTGAAAGCTGACTTTTGGTAAAAGCTAGAACACTGGAGATCAAAAGCACACTAGGAATTTTTTTTAAAGCTTCTTAAGGAATGGAGACGCTGTCCTTGTCAGAAGCTGTTTAGGAAGGCAGATTTTTGTGGATAGAGAGCCTAAAATGTTTTGGACGTCCACATAAAAGGAATAAGAAGAAATATATTGGGAAAAATTACCCAATTTTTTGACAAGAAAGGTGAAGATGGACAGAGAAAAGGGAGCTGTGCAGTCTGTGAATGTTTAATAAAGATATTTAGGCATTTCCAGTGCTCTATATGTCAGAGAGCTTTTAATCACTTTTTATGACAGCATATAAATATTTCTAGGGTGGCCAGCCCCAATTAAGCTGGAGCATTCTTATGTTTTCTGTTTCTGTAAGATTAGCCTCTTACCGGTTGCTATTGTTCTGCTGAATCAAACATTTTCATGTTCATTTGGTCTCTTTTTAGCATCCATTCAGATTATAATTACTTTGCCATTTTGAAATGCATTTTATTTGCTAGGAGGAAATTTGTTCAGTGATTAAGGTTTGTTTAGGACAAGCAGATGCAATAACACTTGGAAACCACACATTGAAGCAGTGGTTGCTGTCTCTTGTACCAGCATTCATCTCTTTTAGTGGTACTTAATTTAACGGGTCAGTGGATGGGCCCAGTGCTTCCCTAGTATGATAACCCTGATTGATTCACCTGGAGTGAATGGACAGTTGTAAGCAGGCACTTGTTTCCCATGGTGCAAACACCAAGCTAAGTGGTGCCGTTGACATGCCTGAGGGACAGGGTGTCATCCAGAGGGACTTAGCAAGCTCAAGAAGTGGGCCCATGTGAACCTCATGAGGTTCAACAAGGGCAGGTGCAAGGTCCTACACATGGATGGGGGTAACCCCTCATATCAATACAGGCTCAGGGATGAAAGGATTGAGAGCAGCCCTGCAGAGAAGGACTTGGGGGTACAGGTGGATGAAGAGCTGGACATGAGCCAGAAATGTACAGTTGCAGCTCAGAAAGCCAACCATATCCTGGGCTGCATCAAAGGAGGTGTGGCCAGCACGTCAAGAGAGGTGATTCTGCCCCTCTACTCCACTCTGGTGAAACCCAACCTGGGGTGCTGCATCCAGTTCTGGAGTCCTCAGCACAAGTAAGACAGTTGGAGGGGGTCCAGAGGAGGACCACAAAAATGATCAGAGAGCTGGAATACCTCTCCTATGAGGAAAGGCTGAGAGAGTTGGGGTGGTTGAGCATGGAGAAGAGAAGGCTCTAGGGACACCCTATTGCAGCCTTTCAGTACTTAAAGGCATCTTGTAAGATAGATGGGGAAAGACTTTTTAGAAAGTCTTGTAGCGATAGAACAAGGAGTAATGGTTTTAAACTAAAAGACTCAGGCTAGATATGCGGGAGACATTTTTACAATGAGGATGGTGAAACACTAGAACAGGTTGCCCAGAGAGGTGGTAGATGCCCCATCCCTGGAAACGTTCAAGGTCACGTTGGACGGGGCTCTGAGCAACCTGATCGAGTTGAAGATGTCCCTGCCCATGACACTGGGGTTGAATTAGATGACCTTTGAAAGTCCATTCCAAACCAAACCATTCTCTGATTCTATGATAATATGCCTAGTTTTTCCTCCCATTTAGTAATTAATTTCTGTTAACTTCAAGTTTAATGACTATGTACAAAACCTCATAGTAATGCTGTGCATAACCAGTAATTCTAGAAGAAAATGAAATGGATATAGAGGTTCTGGAACAGCAGAAATGCTTACCTCCAAGTTGTTGCTCAAATTGGATACATTACCACTCTTCTTTCCTGTCAAGATTAAGTCTTTCTTTTAGTGGGGCTTCCTGATTTTTGTTTGTGAAAGGCTCTTCAGTGAATAGTTCATATAACAAATGAAAAAACACACAGTGAACACACCTCCCCATTTTCAGCCAGAGTGTAGGAGAGGAACTCCCTGTATGCAGGCCTTCTCAGCATCCTGGTGCTTCAGGGTACATGTTGGTCTGACTCTTCTGTCCCTCATAAATCCCTTGGGAGCACTGCAGTCTCAATTATTAGAATGGACATGGTTTAAATAGTCTTTTTTGAGATGTATGCAAAGCCTTGATGGACTAAAAATAGCCTCCGTGCTGTGCTTTGAGAACCTGTGCTGTAAAGGGATGGAAGGCCTCTTTCCTTTCCCTTTTCTGGGGGAGAAATTCATCTAGTCTAGTATAATAAGCCCAGAGTGCCTGAATATTTGGCTTTTCAAATAACACCAGTGTGCTTAATATTCCTTGCTGTCCCTGCAGGTTAATTTTCTTTGTAGAATGAGTTGCGTACTCAAGGCAGTACACTGGGTAACCAGCACAGGTAGAGAGCTCTGCCTCCAGCTGGAATCAGTCTCTGTTGTGCAGTGGTGCAAACTGTTATGCTGTCCAGCTAGGGATCATTACTGTGTGCTAGGGTGTAACATTAGAAGCATACCTCCTCCGTAGAAAGTTGTAGTCTTTGGAAGGACGTTTTGGTTAATTACAATATTCCTGTAGGAAGGCTTTTAATGCTACTGGCTTTTGGCTTAAAAAATAAATTGAATATTTAGAAGCAGGGATATGTGTAAGGAGGGAATTTAAAGTAAACCTGATTCTGTGTGGGGCATTCAAAGTGATTGTGTTTTCCACAGGGCAAAAGTATGATAGTCATGTAAGTCATAGTTTACTAGCTGCATAATGAATGGTTTACAATTAATTTGTATCTGGTTTCCTTAGGAAACTGTCGAAATATTTGAAAATTGTTAAGTGTCAGCAGTATGTTCCTGTGGAAGAATTATTTTCTGTTACAGCTAGGAAAACCCAAAGTGCTTCTCCCAAGTGGACTTATAACCATGGAATTGGACAGTGTAATCTCTTTAGTAAGATAGTTGTAATAGATGGATCTAGATATTTTGTACATATAAAATATCTGTACATCCAGAGTCTGTTTTCTTTTGAATACTTTGGCATTCCAAATAATTAATAGTTCAAGTTGTTCTAATGTTAAATAGAGCAGAGTAGTAGCAAAGAGTAGATTCTTGTATAGATTTTTTTGTTCATGTCCAAATTATGGAGATTGACCTACTTACTAGAATTAGAATTCAGACTGGAGTAGAGGAAACTTTACTGAAGAAACAAAAGACTTCCACAATTCAGTTTGGTTTGGAATAGGAAAAAATACTGCTATTTCAATCTATTGCAACATTTTTTTGAATTAAATGACTACATCTGAATATGTTGTTTTATTAGTCAGCTGATTTCCTAAACCACCAAGTAATGTCTTTCTTGATTACCATGAAGAATATTATGCATTACCTTTTCAAGCCTCTTGAGGGGAGCAGTGTCTCTTATCATATCCATATAAAAGAGGAATTAAGTTTGCAAATGTCCTGGTTTGAGTGAGTGTTAGGTATATGTCTTTGAGTATTTGGGGTTGGAAAGTGAAAAACCATGTTACACGAGGAAAGAAAGTCAGACATCAAGAGGAACATTCAGAGCTTCACAGACATTTTTATCCTATGGCTTACAGAGGCCTAAATATGTTTCTTTGGAATGTTTTTTTGTTGTGAATATCAATACTTCTGTTGTAAGAAGACTGCAATTATAATCAGTCAGGGATGGAGCAATACTGTATGTTTTGAATGGACTGGATGGACATCCTAGCATAGAGTTAGTACTAGAGATGACTGCTGGGACTTCAGGCAAGAATCAGGAAAATCTAATCATTTTACCTGAGACTTGAAGAAAAAGGTGTCCTTTTTATTCTAGGCTGCATTGGTACGTTCTTGGTAATCCAAAATCTGGTTGTAGCTATGCAATGCTTATTTTATTTTCTTTTTTAACATTTTATGATTACAGTACGGTTTGGCAGCAGTAAAATTGACACAGATCTGATCAATCGAATAGAAAGAGCCACTGGGCAAAAACCTCACCGCTTTCTACGTAGAGGAATCTTTTTTTCTCACAGGTGAGTTTTTCTTGGTTTAAAATTCAAAAAGGTAGATTTTCTGTGAGCATAATTGGAAGAAACCCATGAATAGCAAAAGACCGGTGTTCTTTTATACCAAGGTAAACCAACTGTGCCATTTGAAATTAGGAACTACTGCAGATTTTCTCTGGCAACATTTGAAAACCTTGATTGCATCAGTTTCTGATATGTCCTCACTAATCCCAAACTGAAGAAAAGCACACAGAATCTTTGCTTTGTACATGTTCCATTTTGACTGTACATTAGCAGACAGAGAAAGGCATTGGCCTAGCAGAGAACTCCAGGGCTCATCCTGCTGATTTCAACAAGGGTCCATGTGTCCTGTGGACCTATACATCTGTATTATTATATAAAAAGGGCTCAGGGAATAATCTTAAGCACCAGCCTGCCAGCCATCCACACTGTTTAATTGTTAGCATGCATGGGCTTTTGGCCTATGGCAGGTAGCACACTGCTTATAAGTGCCTGAGCATGATTCAGGGCATAACCTCCACCAGAGACCATTCCAAGCTGGTGTTTGAAACTATTTGGGAAATGATTCGTAGCTCTGTTTTACTAGGCTTTAGAAATTATTATCCAATTAAGTAATTTTAAAAGCTGCATATTTTAAAATTTTAATTTAAATATTAAATTTAATTTTTATGATAATTTTTCTTTGTGTTTTTTTTTCATGGAGACTGAAGGAGACAATTAATACTTTTCTTAAATTAAAAAAATGAACAACCAAAACCTTTTTATTTCTCGAACACTTAACATACTGTATTTTATTTACAACTATGTTTGGCTTTAAAAGCACTCGGATTTTGAATAGAAGCTTTTTGCTGTGGATGTTTCTTCCTAAAGAGTTGCATCATGTTTTTTCTGTTTTTTCTTCAGAGATATGGACCAAATCCTCGATGCTTATGAAAATAAGAAGTCCTTTTACCTTTATACAGGCAGAGGGCCATCCTCTCAGGCAATGCATGTTGGTCATCTTATCCCATTTATATTCACAAAGTAAGTTGTTTCTACCATTTCTATTAATCAAAACATTTTTTTTTCTAAGGAAATGTTGAATGTGGTTTGTGGAACTGCCAAAATGATACATTGCAAGGAGTTCTGTGCATGTGAGGTGAATATTAATGAACATAAACAATGCTGTCTTACCTTTTCACTAAAATGGTCATAATCCATGCATCACCATAAAGCCCTTGTGCCCTTAGCCCGGTGGCACTCCTTAGAATTTTTGTTCTTCTTAAAAACGAGTTTGTGATGAGACTCAGTAACATTATTCTGTAATGCAGTGCCTGCAGCAGCAGGACACAGAGACACTGGACTCAGAGCTAAAAGTCTCTTTGAATTCTGTTTCCATTTCAAATAGTGACCGCTATCACATGTACAGGAAACAATAAGTATGAGTCTTTTTTTTTCCAGGTAAATTGTCATTTAATCTGTATAAAATGTTTATTCCACTCACATAAACATAACTGCATATGCATACAAAGAAAAGAGAAGCAGATCTCTTTATATGCTTTTGTTCTAATGTATAAAAATATTTTAGCTGTGTAACATCTTCAACTTACTTCAAGATAAAATCTTTCTGCTTTTATTAGATGGCTGCAAGAAGTATTTGATGTTCCCTTAGTTGTGCAGTTAACTGATGATGAGAAATACCTTTGGAAAGACCTGACAATTGAGAAGTCATATGAGTATGCTAGAGAAAATGCAAAAGACATCATTGCATGTGGTTTTGACATCAATAAAACCTTTATATTTTCTGATTTAGACTATTTAGGGTAAGTATAAATTTCTTTAGGGCATTGTAATGAAGAAAAAAGTGTATTTTCTCTTGAACTTTGACAGTCAGCAATGTTTTAATAAATGTATCTAAATTTGAAAGCTACAAGTTTTACAACACTTAAAATAGAAACTAATTTTTCTGCCAAGATTTTATATATATACTATTGTCATTCTCCTATATAATAGATGAACAAATATTTGTGTGTGCAGTGCTTAAATTTAAATTATGAAAAATGTATTAAACCAGCTAAACCACGAAGAAACCTCCATATTGATTTGTTTAAGATACCTAAATCTTTGTTTACACTTCAGCTGTGTTAACAAAAGGCATTTCAGCCTTGTGGACAATTAATTTAATCATACAGCATGAAATACTATTTGAACTTTCAGTAAAGTTTAAAGAAGATTTAAGAAAAAGTAACTGCTGTTGGAACTTCCTTCTCAGAGGGAAGTTTTATGGCAGAGTTCAGAGCTGAAGTTGTGGGCTTTGTTCTTTCATGGAGGGTGATGAGCTTTCATAAAGACTTGGATGAGAGAACATGTTTCAGAGATAAACTGTATAACATACAGCCCCAAGACCCTACAAAGCAGTTTTTCCTCCTTTCACTTACACAAGTTGCACTAACACAGACCTAGCCTGTGGCTGAACAAGGGCAGGTCAGAACTGCTGTTTCTCTTGCTTCAGCTCTTCAGCAGAAATAAAAAAGGAAGAAGTTGCTTAGCTAATTTTGATTTGAAAATGCTGCTGCTGTTGTGTTTGGTGACAGAAAAAGTCCAGCCAGGGAACTTAGCCAGTAGAAAATCGGAATTTGAAGGATTTGAGCCACTATTCCTTTGGTGAACTGCAGTGTCCTGTATGGGATACACACTGGGGATACCAAGCAACACAGAAGACGTGATGTGTTCAGGTTACCTGAGTTCATAGAGAAGCATATGGATAAATAAACTTCAGGCTCCGTGAGGAATTATGGCACCATTTCCAAATGAAATATTTCTGGGTTTAGACAGTTAATTGTGACAAACATGTTTGCAGTAACTGTTGGGGTGGAGGAAGAATAAATTGAACTTTCAAGGCACAAAATTCTTGTTTGTAAGTAATTCTCTAATTATTATCTCAATGTGCCACAAAAAGTCTGAAAAGGTGAGATTTAATCCTGCAGGTTTTCTGATATTCTGAGTTTTGTAGTGAAAGTTTCTACCTACACTTTTCTGCTCTTATTTTATTTTTCAATTTCCTTTCTCACAGAACAAGTACTGGATTCTACAAAAACATTGTTAAAGTTCAGAAGCATGTTACATTTAACCAAGTGAAAGGAATCTTTGGATTTACAGACAGTGACTGCATTGGTAGGAAATAATATGTGTTACTAGAAATTATGCTTGCTTTCATTTTCTATGGCAATGTTTAGTTAATAATTTAAAGAAAATAGTATCTGCCACTCATGAAACAGATAGAAAAAGCAAGAAGATCCATGTTTCTATGCTGCTTCTAAAAGGGTGATATTGTGGTTCCTTCAGTATAGAAAACATTGTACAGTGAAATGTCTAGCATGATATCTACCTTTTCGTCCTTAGTAACAGCAAAGTACAAAACACCAACACTGAAGTGCTCAGGATAGAGACCTTTTTTATTTCTTTATTTAATTTATAGTGATTGCAGCTATAGTCAGTTATGCCTTCTAGAAACTTCTATGCCAAATTTATATAGAAGCTTTTCTTTTTAGAACAAATTATATTAATACACACATGCACATACGTATAATATATGAAAAAAGTTAAGGAGCACTCAGAAGCCTAATTATCAAGGTGGTAGGTAACTTTGTCTTCCATTTACTTCACTGTGATTGCAGGTTTCTGTCACATTGGCCAAAAAAAAAAAAATCTGTGTCAAATAAGACATTAAAACCTTGGTGTTCCTGAGCACTAATATCATTCTTTGACCAGTAATTGGGCCAGTGACAGCTTTTCAGCCTTCACTGTAACAAAGGAACAGATTCCTGCTTGTTTTAACAGTGCTCTAATAAAAGTTAGTATTGTGATAATGACTTCATGACATGTTTGGAAAAATCTATTTGCTTTCTGTGCATGTTGGTCATCCAGTGTTTGAGCACTGTATAAAAAAGAAAGTTGGACATGTCTGAGATGCTTCACGAGCATCCATATAGCAATGATTCTAAGATCTTAGAGGGGAACTTGCCTGATATGTAGCTCTATAGTCATTCTCTCACAAAGACAGAACAAATGAGCAGCTCAGAGTGGTGGTATAGTCAACTGTATTTCTGGGAAAGGAAGATAGCTCAATGATAAAGATAGTATGTGCTGATGAACCTTTTCTGAAACCTTCATAATCCCAGCCTGCCATTTTTCATTCGTTTCTATGTTAGTTGAAGGTTTGTTGACATCATAAATGGTAAAGATAAAAAGGTTTCCTCAGATAAGGCAACACTGCTTGATAAAGATAGATGTTGGTCTTCAACTGAGTATCTGAATGATTCATTTGTGCATTTTACATATTTCAAAAAGTTCCCTCTATTTAACATTGCTTATATTGGCTGCTTAGCTTTTCCAAACGTTGTTTTCTAGGAAAGATCAGCTTTCCTGCTATTCAAGCTGCTCCATCCTTCAGTTCATCATTTCCACAGATCTTCAATGGCAAGGAGAACATTCAGTGTCTTATCCCATGTGCTATCGATCAAGTAAGAAAGTCATACTCTTAATTTGGTTTTCATGGATTTCTTTTTGTAATGTACCATTCAAGTTTCATTGTGGTTTATTGAAACATCTGTAAAATATTCCTGCAAACACCTTTATGGAGCAGAAGCTGGAAGAGATAAAGGGATGTTGTGCTGTGTCCTGAGAAAGATGAAAGCTTAACTCAACAATCACTTATGGATCTGTCTTGATCTCAACCCAGTTCACTGTATGTTGACATCTGCGAAAGCAAAGACAGTAAAATCTATTCAAAAATATACTGACATGGGGGTAGGAAGAAACTTTTGGCCATCTCCATGGTAACTAGGGACAAGATGTAATGAGCTCAACTTGCAGCACAACAGATTTACGTTGAACCATAGGGAAAAACCTTGTATCAGTAAGAATAAAGAAGCATTGAAATAGTTTGCCAGAAAGGCTGCAGACCCTTAACAATTCAGATCTGTAGAGAGAGGTTGGAAGAGCATCAGCTACAAATAACAGTAGTAGCATCATTACTTCAAATAAGAATTGTTTCTAGGAATCAAATTCTGCATTGTCTGAATCTTTACCTATTTTAGTCACAGGGACAGTCACTGGAAGATGATGTAATTGCATTTATCAGCCACAATATTATGTAGTAATATTACTGCAGTTGGTTAAGTCAGATCATTAGTCAGCACAGCACTCCCAGCTTGATCACTGATTTAGTTCAGATTCTGTGCTGGTTGTTAAACACTTTAGGAGGAAACTTGAATCTTAGTCTGCATCTATCTCCAGGCGTACTGAACATAGTTTTCACAACTATTGTAAATCTTTGTCAATATGTCTATTAATTGAGGGAATCAGAGAGTACAGCAAAATTATGGAAATGAAAAAAGGGATTTTGCTTGTTTGCTCTTGTGGATGAACTGGATTATAAGTAGGTTTTTGGAATGTTTCATGCTTGGTTTGGGTTTTTTTGGGGGGGGGTGGGGGTGTTTGAGACTGCCTGTTAAGACATGAATAGGTCGGCACTAATCTGCTTTTAAATCACATTTTCCACCTTTATTTTGTGCTTTTTTTGATGGTGGTTCTAGGATCCTTATTTTAGAATGACCCGGGATGTAGCACCTAGAATTGGACAGCCTAAACCAGCCTTACTGCACTCAGTCTTCTTCCCAGCTCTGCAAGGAGCACAGACAAAAATGAGTGCTAGTGACCCCAACTCCTCCATCTTCCTCACTGATACACCCAAACAAATCAAGACAAAGGTAAGCACCTGCAAAATCTGAGAGTACAGAGCTTTATAACAGAAAGGATTGGTGGTCCTCACAGTTACAGTGACAAATTTTAATGTTTTCTTTGAACATATCTGAATCGTTTTTCCCATAAGTTTTATTGCAAAGCATCTTCAGGAACTGACCAAGTTAGACAAATTTAGCTAGACTGTCAAATATAATCTTTTGCCTTGCCAACAAGTCTAACAGTACAAACACTAGCTAGAATAATGTACAAAACATCATGTTTGTTTATCTGATATCTGCCGAGGAGTGCTGTAAGAATAAGAGCTGTGGAGGCTCATGCTCTAAAAATAAATAGATTTGAAATCTGACAGTCCATGATGTAAATCAAATAAACAGCTTTTTCTCTTGACTGGCTCTCCATGCTGGGAGCACCAGGTGTTGCACAGTGGCAGTTACAACACAGGTCAGAATTTTCATGCTACTTGGGGATCTGCTGCTGTCATGCACTCCTCACTCCAATTCACAATTAAATGTTATGTTGAATTTCACCTAAGTTTTAGAAGAGTTATCTTCTCCTGACTATATTCCTAGTGCCCCTTGTAGATCAGAAGAAAATCCCTCTTATCCAGCATCAGATGATTTAGCTGGCAAAAGTTCACCTGTATTGTGGTATTTAAAAAAAAAAAAAAAAAAAAAAAGGATTTATAAGCATGATAACCAGACGTTAAATAACTTTCTGTCAAAACATGAAAAAATACGTATATGTTGTTGTTGCTGGTTGTGCTTGGATTAATTCTCTAATGGTTAACAAACCCACACATAGATCAGATTCCTCTGCCTCATAATGATTCATTATCAGATGTAGAAACTGATTAAACAGTACTGTTTTGAAGAATTGGTATTCTTCATGTGTTTGGTTGATAATAATTCCAGTTTATATGCACAATTACGCAGTTGCTTTTTTAGAAAAGTCTATTATTTCAGAATAGAGGATACATGGTTAGTGGTGATGTGGGTAATATTCTTTTATTTTTTTTCCTGGCAAGTAACAATCTTCAAAGAGACCTAAGATGCCTTATGTCCAGTTAATAAGTCCTATTTCTGATATCCTTAAACTAGTTGGAAAACTAACTAAATAATTCGAGCTACTTGGAATATAAAAGTTCTCAAGAGAAAACTCTGAACATAATTTAAAGTATGGAGTAATGGAGGATAAACTGAGATCTATCTCAGCTCCTGAAGCCCATCAGAAAGAAGTCTTTATGGAAATAGAACTTGAGTGAAAGACCAAATTTTGTTATGGTCAACAAATAAAAAATTAGAGTAGGAGAGGTGACTTCCAGTGATGGATGAATGTTAAAAAGGGAGTGCCACTGCTGCACAAAAAAAACCTACTGTTTACAGCATTTTTCAGATCACTAGTACATTGCTAAATAATGAGGTTCAAAACATACCAGTAATAGAAGATGAATTACTTGATATTGAGAAAGGCTGAGATGCTTCTGGGAATTAAAGAGATGAATGGCAACATTACAATAAACTGTTCTTATTTCACCTATCAGCACCAAATTACATCTCAATTATTTGCTTGTTTTCATAGAAAATGTTATTTAGATTCTAAGTCTGTACTAATTCAGGGAAAAGGTCAGTGCATCGCTATAGTTAAATTATTGAAACCTTCAGTCAACAAGTAGATGCTAGAATATGTAAAAAATGAACTTGAGATTAATATAGGAAACATTTTGTATGATTTGCCTTCACCTGAGATATTGTATTTAGTCCCTTTTACCTTAGTAAGAAGACAAACTATAGAGATGAGGGACATCATAGAAAAAATTTCATACAAAGATATTCAAAATGTAGTAAGGAGACAGGCTAGGAGAAGTGCAAAACAATATGTAAAAACAAGATACTGAGAGCACTATTCAGGCTGTCCTATAAGATAGATGTAATGTGACAGATGGTAGTTTATTTTCTTAAGATATTCATCACTGCATCATTTCTGTATGTAATTCATTGCCACAAGACATCATCTGTAACATGGTGGTTAGAAAGATTCAGAAAAACACTAAACAGTCATACAGATAAGAATGTTCAGAAATTGTAAATACATAACAGTTCCTAGGTATCAGAACTAAAAAAAAAACTAAAAATCTACTTCATATGCATGTGTGTCTCTTGGCTGGTTGATGATGGTGTCTGAAAAGATACAAGAGCCAAATGAAAGCTCAACTTATGGTTGAGAAGTACTCTTCTTCCCAGCAATATATTTTCTTTAAATTTGTAGGGAAATTAGCATCCTATGAGAATTCTACAGGTATAAATTTTTCAAATTGGCCAGTGCTTTCTGGATTTACTAGGTATGGGATTAGCAGATAGATCTATTCACCACTGGAATTCACCTCCCCATAGGAAACTATGCTTAAGAAAAGGCAGGGAGAGTCAGCAAGTATTCCATTTTTAGACTGAAAAATTGGACTTTTGTCTAATTTTACTCATTCTAGCCAGGGGTTTATAATGTTTAACTGTGTTTTCTCTTGTTTTCCTTTTCCCTGAGAAAAGGAGGGGACTAGGATCCCTCTAGGATTTCTTCAAAAATTCTCCATGCCTTCTTCATTTCTTTCAAAATTAATTTCTCGAAGTGAATAGTTTATTTTTTCTTACATAAAGTACATCTCCTGTAAACACAAATTCTATTCAACAGGCACCAGATTCAGTAAAAGGGATTTAAAACCTTTTTGACTAAATCTTGGGTGGATTATTTTTTATTTTTGCTTCATTTCTGGTCTGGTTGTGCAGTCTGGGGAGCATGTATATAGCCATTTTTCCCTGCTGGCTTCTAATGACGTCCTTTTGCCTCCCTGCTTCAGTCCTAAGGCTCTACATTAGCTTTCCCCACTCACCCTTCAGCTAGTCCTTGGTGTACAGTTTGGAGGATCACGATACTCCTCTGTTTACAATACAGTAATCCAGAATTTAGTAGCACTTATATCATAAAATCCTTATGTTGTTTCAGATTAATAAGCATGCCTTCTCAGGAGGCAGAGATACTATTGAAGAGCACAGGAAGTATGGAGGCAACTGTGATGTTGATGTATCTTTTATGTACCTGACTTTCTTCCTAGAAGATGATGACAGGCTTGAACAACTGAAGCAAGTAAGTAAGCCAAGTTGAAGATAATATTATTCATTGCTTATTGTAAGGACAAAGCTGTAGCTAAATACTACTATGAACTTTCTCCAGGAAGGTAATTGTGGTGTTATTCTTGCACTCTCCATCCCTTACAAGTTTCAATATTAAGACCTCCATATTTGTTTGTTTGCAATCTAGCTCTTCTTTTAAAAAAAAAAAAAAAAAAAAGTCCCTAGTATTTTCATCAGGATCTCTGACACTGAGTAGGACAGTATCTCCCCTACCTTTCAAATGATGCCACCTTAGGATTGTTTTAACTATATAATACACTCTGCCTGTCCTTATGTGCAAGGTACCTAAATACTCTGCAGAATTACAAAAGCTCATGTCTAAAGATTGCTGGTTTCTTTGTTTTTTCTTATCACAAGAAATGTAATAGCTGTGAGGAATTGATTCACTGATTGCAAGTAAAAACTGCTTCATATAAGTTGCATTTTCCTTAAACCTATCTGGCAGACTTCTGTCCCTGGGGTGGTAGCAGGACATTTCACTTCCTTCAGCTATATGATCATCATGCTTACTAGGCAGTATGCCTTCTCTGGAAGGCAGTATCTGTAGCTGATAGTACCCACGTCACATGAGTTTATCTGCTTTCTCCTACTGGGAACAGCTGCAAGAAAGTCAGGAGCTACAGTTTCTTCTCCAACCCTCTACACTTTCCCACACAAGAGCAGAGTTGGATAGCTACTAATCCCCATGCAAACTGTTCTAAATTCCTTATGGAGATCAGGAGCACATTTGACATACTGAGCAATTTTCCATTAGTTTCCAACCACTGCAAGAATATCAGCATGGCTCTGCTACAGAGCTCAAATCCTCAACCACAGCCAGCAGCTTGCTGCAGTGCTGCCTCAGAACCAGGTTAGAGAACATGATAGCGGCGTTAGTGGAGCTGTTTCAGTTATGGTGCCAGAGGGAAAAGCTTTTAGAAGTGGATACTCAAAGAAAGCCATATCAGTGTTTTTATAACAGAAAAAAACCCAAATCCATCCCTAAAAAAACCACCGCTGAAATTACAATTCAGTTCACTGTTGTTAACATATTTTGCTGTTGCTGAGTGAGCATCAGCAACAATTGGACCTTGAATTGGTATTACAAGTGACTTGTTGACAAGGAGAGGTAAGATTACTGTGTTTATTGACATTTCAAATCATAGTTGAATGGCCCCAGCCATGGTTTCTAACCAGGCCTGAACCAGTCAGCTGTTCGCCTGGGCTTCTAGCTAAAGCATTTTCAGGATCAGAGCAACTGAACAGATTACCAACTGTGAATATGACTACTACTGTGAACATAGATTCTGAGTGTCTTTGCTATAAAAAGGATACTTTCATCACATCTAATCTTTTACCCGAATGCAATGAGAGAAAAATACCAGAATTTGTACCTCTTATTGCAAAAAATAGCTTAGGGTGACTTAATTTGAACTGGGATACTGGGAATGCAATTTTCTCAAAATAATTACAGGATTTCCCAGTTCAATTCTTGTGAATGTATTCAGTCCATCTAATTTGTCACGTATGAAATTTCCTCGCTGCCTTAATCTTTTAAAAGGCAAAAAGCAATTTTGCAAGTTACATTTTTCAGTGATACTGCATGATCTTCTAAGGCATGTGCTTATTTCTAAGACAGCCAAATCTGTATTTGCTAGGGCCAGACTTTTAAAGAAATACTTGTCACTGAGTCTTTTTCCATATAGCACCATATTTAGCAATCAACACTTTCTCGACAGGCATACACAAGTGGGGAATTGCTCACGGGGGAGCTGAAGAAGGTTCTTATTGAAACATTGCAGCCCTTGATAGCAGCTCATCAAGAGAGACGGAAGCAGGTCACAGATGAAATGGTGAAGCAATTCATGACCCCACGGAAGCTAGCTTTTGAATTTTGAAGAAATGCATATGCAACTTACCACTTGATAAACCAAAACTGAGTAATTGTTGTCTCCTGTTGTATGTCATCACTCCCTAGTTATGTACAGCCTGCAATCAGTGCTTTATAAATACTGCTTTTAATGAGTTAATGACAATGAACGTCAGAGTACAGGAAAACTTTAAAATAGGACTCCTATCTGTTTAAAATCAGAATATATAAGACAGAATTGCCCAGTCTTTCAGAAAAGCATGCCTGTCAGCACAACACTGTATTTTATTGTATCTCATGTTGAAAATATAAATAAAACTTCCATTTTGATGATAAAACCTAACTTGTAAATTGGTTCAGATATGTTGCTAGGAGGTCCTATCTCAAACTAATAATTAGCAGCTCCATTTTCTTTTCTCGTACATACCTTGGTTTAGGAGACTGCATGTCCTTTAGGGCTCCTGGGAACATGCTGCACACAAAAAGATAGTGAATGCTACAAAATAGATTACATAGTGACTTAGGCCTGGGATCGATGCAGAAAGAATGGAGACCCATGAGTTGAACATGGGAGAAAGAGTATCAGGCTCATTTTGCTATCGTCTTCCTCCCTGACCAGGGGAAGGCTGCAGAAATCTCACTGTGCTTTTGTTTCTGCAGCTATTTAACTGGTCTGAATGGCTCTGGAGGGTGGAGGTTATCACAAGGTTGTAAAGTTCATATTCTCAGGCAGAAGGGAGTATAGAAATGCAAATTTTAGTTTCTAGTTATAAAAAATACCAAGTGTTAAACCATGCTGTGAAAATGAAGTCGCTGCTGAACACAGGGATACTTCTAGCCTATTCTGTTTTACTGCACCATGTCATTTAAATTAGAGGTACTTCTTTTAAGATTTTAAGAGAAAATATATTCTGTTAAAATACCTCATGTAATATTTAATTATCTCCTTTCTTAAAAAGAACTTTAATGTATTTGCTATAATTTATGGAAGAAAAATTCAAATTATTAGCTAATTTATTTTAATATGTGCAGTGCTGAATGAAAACTGTTAGATCTGTCTTGTATTTATATAGAATAGGAAATTGCTAGCCCAGATACAGCCTTATCTACATCAAATAAAAATACCTTTGATAACACAGGTGGGAATTGATGTGTGGTATTTGCAAATCATATAAAAATCCAAGGAAAGCACTTGAATGAGGTGTGAAAGTTTTAAACTTTAACAGGTTCTGTACTGTGGGGCCCATAAATCAACTGCAGCATTCTTAAAAAAAAAAAAAAAAAAAATTAAAAAAAAAAAAAGCACACTTTTAATTTAACTGTAAACCTTTGAAGTTGGCTGATTACACTTGGGCTGAGGTAGAAGTTTCAGATGTGAGACTTTAGTAGACCTTGGATCAGCCTGTTGGTACATGGGAACATGCTGGGCTATTTGTGCTGCCTGAACCTGATGCCGCTGCTTTCCCACCAGGAGCAGTTCTGTACCGCAGCGTCCACGTCCTCTCCAGCACTGACGTGGCCTTTCTGAGATGGTGCTGACAGAGTGCCAAGTTGTATATGAAGTGCCCCTGTTAGTTTATATTTGTGCAACGAACCAAGGAAAGCCTGAAGTGCAAAGCGAGTTTAATCCTTTTGCAGGTGTTTCAAACCTGTGCTGAAAATAGTGATCCTCAGCTTTTGTCTTTTTCTTCACAGGTTATGTGCGCTGGCATCACTAATCTAATGCTATTGACTTTAATGTATTAAAGTAAATGTTTGCCAGCAACTGTGTCTCTATAACCCACAGACGTAGGATCTCAGTGCTAATAAGTGTTTAACAAGCAGTAGAGAAGCTTTCTTTAAAAAAAAAAAAAAAAAAAAATTCTTAGAAAAGAAAAATAGCTTCTTAAATCCATTAATAAATCAACTAATTCTTGGTTACTGTACAATTTAATTATGACCTCCCTGTTCTTGCAGTCTACTCTTTGTCATCTTTAGGCTATACATAAAAGATAAGACTTAAGTTGAATTTTAAAGGGCTTGTACAAACTCATAATGCAAATTTCTTCTTTAAAATATTATATGCAGATGTGTCCTGCAAGATTTATTTCATTTATTCAGGAAAGGGAAATAATGCTGTAGGAGAAACAATAGCGTTTTCTATTCTAGCTAAGTATATGGATTAATCATAACATGGCAATTAAAATCTGGTTTGAAAGTTCTAGAAAGGAAAGCGATAGCAAAATTACTTGGTATCTGTTTACTCAGCAAGCACCTTACTCAAGTACTCTGGTGAATTCTTACAAACATGCTTCTGAAATTATACAGTTTCTCAGAGGAGTCTTGGCAAATTCCTAAGTCTGTTGTAATTGCAGTGTCCCAGAGGTATTTAAGTCAAGACAAGACAGTCTTCAAAAGCACGTCTGAAGTGTCTAAGAATGTTATCAGGCAGTGTTCATTACATTTTCCTCAATATGCTCATATTTTGTTCATCTCTCTGGAATAAAAATGTAGATAAAAGTCTGTATCAAACTTCTTTGATGTTATTTGGGGTTTTTTTTAATTTTTAAAAGACTTAATTTACACATACTCTGTTTTTGAGCTCTCTTCCTACCATTTAGGTGTTGATTTAGTCATCTGATGGAGCTGGTCCTTGTTTTGGTGTCCAGTGCCTTTCACATAGTGAAATAGGGTGCCTTATACTCCCCTTTATCCATTCCTACCAGGTAGTCTTCAGATTGCTCCCAGCATGAGCTAATAAGGGTCAGTTGTCCAAAGATTAACTGGTGGCAAGCAAGACTGAATGTTGTACTTCCCAGTGTACAGCAGCCCGCTCAGAAATAGGAGAAGGTCGCTGTGACCCATTTACAATGACACTTCAGTAGGTTTGGCATAAAGACTGGCACTTAAGTGGAAACATGATACTCCACAATTGCTGTTGTCTGAAGAGCACAGATTCTGAATAGCTTCACATGGCTCTTTGACAGTCACCAAGAAGCATGCTGAAACCTACTTGGATATTCATAAAGATTGTCAGAGAAAACAGGAATTACTAGTGACATGAAAACATGAAGCAGAATGTGCCTTCTAAAGAAACTTTTATTTTTTCCAAGGCCACCAACTTTGTTACTGATAGAAGTAATCTATAAACAACCTGCAGTCCCTATAGCAATGTAAACCCAGTATCAGCACAGCAAATGTGGTGTCTTCATTCTGTTAGCTGGCCTTCAGCTAGCTTATTTGTCAGAATAAATAGTTCTGTGATTATCAGAGTTGTTGAAGGTCAAGGTAATACAAAGAAATCAGAAAACAGAGCAGTCAGGTTCTGAAATCCAGAATGCAACCACCCAGTTTGGTGTGTATGTAGTGAAATACATAATACGTACAGTGTGCCATGTCATTAAACAGAATTTGGTTAATATTTATGTGCCTGTGTTTACAGTACTTAGTCAATTCCTGTACCTGCTGGTAGTTTGCATCAGGGTGAATTAGCCGTGAGTTCTCGCTCTAAGGCAGGTTCTCACCCATATGCTGTGTATATATTTTTTTTCCAGTAAAGGTTTGTGAATGGGATGGATTGCAAAGAAGCAGTTACCTTCCTGAAACAAGCTGCCTGGAGATACAACTTGCCTCTAGTGTAGCATTCGTTCAGGCCACATGAGAACCTGCTTTTATATGATGCTGAATACCCTTGCACTGGCTTCTGCAGTTGTTCCCACTCATTTTCACAATTCATCTGTAATTCCTGCTTCTTGAAACCGACTTTATTTCAGTTACACCCACAGAATAAGACAATTCTAATCATCTGAATGCATGACCCTATTAAGAAAGCTGAGCTGCTTTAGTTTCAGACTTTGGGCTGACTATGGATATTATCAACACTGCTGATTTGCAGGCATTCTTTTATTTTCTCAGCTAACAAGGTCAGCTGAGAATAACACAATATAAGGATTTTGGTTCCAGAAAACATCCAGGTAGAACTGGGATAAATCACTACCCAGCTGGGAAAGCACTAGGTTAAATGCATCCCTTGTAGAAAGAGGTGAGGGGAGTGGACTCTTAAAAGACATCTTAAGAGACATTCTAAATCTTGAGGACTTAATCTTCTGTTGTAAGGAGTTTCTGACTAAAGGAAGTTTGGTGCTGATGCCCCAAGGTGTAACTGGGAGTGGTAGGTTGCTGAGGCCATAAGCACTTTTGGAGAGAATCTGGTTTAGTAGTGGGTCTTTCATTTCACTCCCCTTTAAGGTGACCTACTCTGCACCTGCCTCATCTTCTAACCTTGCTCTTGGATCAGCTGCAAGAGCTGAGTTGACTCTCAAGAGAAGAATTACGAAGATTGTTTGATAGCATGGCTCTGAAAGTGTTTAAAAAGCCAGCTGAAGTCTTAGATATCAGGAGGACAGTTCTGGAGCTTTTAATTAGTCTCTGTCTGGGGTGGAAAAGGTCCCCTTTATTCTTTCCTGGTAGCACCTGAAATTTTAAAACATGTTCTAGTACAAGATCCTTTTTTATATGTCCAGGGTAGCTGACAAATCTTGTCTGCTGCAAAATTAGTGTCAGTATAGTCAAAGCCATGCTATCAACTGATAAAACTGCCTGTGGACCAGAAGGGCATCAACCCTGAATATGAGAACTCCTTTAAAAATACAGTCGTCCCATTTTCCTCCAAAAAGCTCACTGGATCCAGTCCTCTCCAGGTGCCGTCATCCAGGGATTGAAACAGAAAACCTACATGCTGCTTTTGAGGTGGGGTGAGCAAATTAAAGTATTTCTGGGTTTAAGGGTTTTCCTTCTGAAGCAGTAGTGTGAGTGTTGGGTTTTTTTTCAACTGACATGTTGATGAAACTTTATGCCTTTGTGAAAAATAAATAATTTTTAGGAAAGTCAGAAATTCTTTCAAAATTTACCTTTGACCAAAAAAAAAAAATATGGCTGCTCCTAACAATGTAGTTTAAAGGGAGAAGAATATGCACTTTTTAAAAGTTGTAAATCTTAATTATACTCTACAACTTTGCAGTTCTCTTGTAACTTACCTAACACTGCCAGTACACAGATTTTATGGCAGCCTTTCCTGTGAGAAGCAAATCGGTTTTGCATCTATTCCCACCCTCCTTCCAGGATGAGAACAGATTGTCTCCAAAGCTGTGCCAAGCTCTAAGAGCTGCTGTGCCATAAGCCCAAATCTGGGAGGGGACGGATTCTGTAGGGCGAAGGGTTGCACGGGGAGAAAATCACATGGCTTACGGGAACCCATGCCTGGTTTCACTTTCAATGAGGCCATTAGCACGATTATGTAAACAGACAATGTCTGCCACTAATTAAATAACAACAGGAAAAGGCAAGGAGATTCATATTGCAGCTGCTACCAAAGGGGTATAATTATAGACTACTTTGAGAAAATTACAGCTGGGAAGGAAGAGTTGCAGCCTGAAGCACAAATATGTAAGTTACTCAGTGAATGCGATGCAGGCATGACATGTAAAGAGCACATACTGGATAGTGTTAAACCTTACACAAACTCCCTCCAGCTCTTGCCCTGGTTGTGAAGGCCATTTTCTGTGCCGGTAGAAAACAGAATGAATCCTTTACCAAAATCTCTGATAAGACTAGCAGCTTTTTAGAACATAAATATTTTCAAATATTTCAAGGGCCTAAGCAGTGGCTACAGTCTAAATACATTAATGAACTAAAAAGGGAGGTTGTGTGTAAATCCAAGACTCCCTGATGAGTTTATAATCCTATAAGAATAGATCAAAGCTGTCAGTCATCCAGCTTTCTGCTGAAATTGTATGCTTCTTACGCTGTCCATCAAAGGAGACAGGATTCAGCAGTCTTTTGTGGATGCTGTGTTACAAATAAACAAACAAAATACACCTCTGAACAAACAGGCACAAGCTATTTTTTGTTTGTATAATGATCTGTAAATCTCAATACAGCTTCATACGTTACAAACACCACCATGTTCACAGGAAAGGCACGAATGCAGTTTAAACCCAGTCCTTTGAAAAGCACTTTTGCACCCTCCTTTCTCACACTTTCCCTAGCACAGTGGACAAGGCCTTTGTACTTGTGCTGGTCCGATTCATCTGTTTGCATCCGTGATTTGATGACATCCATGGGAGTAGCTAATCCCCAGGCCAGGACTCCAGCGAAACCACCAGAAAGCAGCACAACGAGAAAACCTGCAGGAGAGAGTGAAGGGAGGAGCAGCTGCAACTTGAGCCTTGCACTCATGGCTACAAACATCTCAGATTTGTCAGCTAACTTAGTTAACTTTAATGTTTTCCTGCAGTTGTTTTGTCCAGCTCTTGCCGTTGTAGGTTTCCAGTAATCTCACACAAACTGTGTGGCCTCTCAATTTCACAGCATACTTAATTTCTGAATACATGACAGCAGCTCATGCAGAGACAGTATCTATTTTAACGCCACACAAACTAGATGTAATGCAGCCTGAGAGCACTCACACCCTCTTCAGCTGGGTGTACTTATCTTTATTAGTCTCAGGAAGATGGTCTTTGCTGTTTGTCACCTATTTGAACTTTTCTAAAAGTGAATAGTTGTTTTGGGGAGCCAAATCACAGCAAGGAAACTTAAGTGTCTTTACATTCTGCACCTGGACTTTATTTTCAAACTCTGGACTGGCTCTGATCTGTGTTCCATGATGGCCCCTGGGAGGTTTGTCCATGTTTCATTTATAGTTGCATACCCTGTTTCTGCATTAAGAGGATCTCATACACACATACAATGCACAAGAACATAAACACCCCTACCGCAGGGCAGGGATGAGCTGCTGAGGAACAAGGTTGTGCCACAGAAGTCCTCACACACAGGCTGCTGGCACTGATGCAGGAGGGCACAAACAGCCCCGTGGCACCAGGAAACAAACACACAGCAACCCCCTGTGAGGACCGGATCTGGGTGATGGGTACTGGGTGGTGTTTGCCGAGAGCCTGATTTCTCTCTTAGTGTGGTGCTTAATAAGCCACTTTTGCAGGTAATACCAGATGCTTTCTGATACTTACCCGGTTTATTTCTCCCAGCTGGTGTGAGCCACTCACACAGAGCAGAATAAGTAAGGAAATATATTGCAGAAGAAGAGCAATCCCTGCAGAGTAATGCAGAGCAGCCCTTGTAGAGACCCCCAAAACCTTCCTCCTTGGCAATCACCTTCAGACAGTGCAGAGACCCTCGGTACTTTGGCTTGGAAACAGACTGGGGAGATGTGAGGGAAGGATGTGGGTTCCTCTGAGTCTGCATGCGAACCTTAGCCACTTCACTAGGGGTCATCAGCACAACCTGTAACATCGGAGGATGGTATTTTAACCCTTTGTATTTAAACAGTGTTTTGATCTCCCTCCTGCAGATTCCTCATTTCCCACCTTTTCAGGCAATAATATTACCTGAAGTCAGCAAGTACCAGCCTTCTCCTCACTGTCTGTGCTAAATCCCACCCAGCAGCAGCAGGACACACATGTGAGCTTCACTGTGCAGAGTGGAAGGTGAGGCAGAAATCAACAGAGGATATTAAATACCTGTAACAGCTTAATAAACCAGATGGGCATGGAAAGGGGATGTGCTCAGCTGCAGGGTAGCACACATCAGGGCTCTTGTATCTATCTGTATTAGGAACCAAGGCCATAAAGACTAAAAAATTTAACCTGTGTTGAGTAGAGTCCTTGCCTGCTAGGGAACACTTAGAAACCCAACCATCTGGACTGCTCTGTAAGAGGATTGCCTGTGACCGGGCACGCACTTCTGCCCAGCATGCCATCAGGACAGGGGGCTGAGCTCTGCCACATTCGCAGTGCCTGCAGACAGAAATCCATCTGCTTATGGGAAATTGCTCCTGGATTCAGCCTCACCTCCCTGTTCTGGGATCATGCACGTGTGCCAGGCAGTATCACTTCTCAGTGATGCCCCGCTGAGTTTTGAGTCCTGACAAGACGGTCAAAACACTGGCCTGTGCTTTACCACACCAAGTTACATCTTTCTTACATAAACATACCATCAGAGTCACTTGGAAAGTTTGCTGCCCAGGTTGTTTTTCTTCCTTTTTCTGCATTTGCTGCCAAGATTCATGTTATGCTTAATAGCATGTTCTTAAGTGTTTTGATGCTTTAAGCCAAATCCAGCATGAGCTGCCCAGCAGGACTCAGTCACACTGCAGAGCCAACCAGCAAGAGGGCAGCACGGGCAGAGAGAGACCCCCTGCCAAAACAAACCCACCAGGCTTGTTGCAGGCTCCCCTGTGGCCTCCCGGACAGAAAACATTCACTGTTTTTCCAGCTTCCTGTGTTTGTGAACAAGATCTCTTGTGCTTTCCCTTTCTGCTGTTTACCTACCCGGACAGCACCAGCAGCGCCTCCAGCAACAGAAACATCCAGCTTGGATGGCTTCTCATCTGCAGCCCCGTATCGGAGCTTGCAGATGGTACAAAGGAAGTTTTTGTAGGTGCCAAATGAAACAGAAGAAATCACTGATACTGCGAGCACTGATGCAGACACACCTTTGTAAAATCCCCAAACCTAGTTGGAAAGAGAGGAAAAATACCACTTTTAAGAGAGAATGGCATGGGAAAGCATCTGCTCAAAAACACTGGCCATACATTGCTGAGACAAACTTACACCCATTTTACAGCTCATCGGCAGAGCCAAATTTCTTCCTGACCCTTCTCACAAGAAATGGTTTTATATAACTTCTTCCCATTCTCCCCAAACCAAGAGGCAGCCCTGCCTTTCTGAAACAAGGCATCTGTAACTGGTAACAGCAACTCTGATGAGAAGTACCTACTTTTTCTGTCCTGTATGTTTCCCGAATGCAGTGCCAAATCCCATTGTAATTCCTCTCTGTCTGAATTCTCACCTAGGAATACAGGGGCAACTTTACAATGCAGATATCAGATTAAAAAGAAAAAAAAAAAATCAACAAATGCCATAGCAGATAATTAGCCATAAAATAGCATCACCAAACAATTTAGGTTTTGTGTTTTTTTTAAAGAGAAAAAAACAACAAAATAAAGTGAAATATGTTGATGTAACAAAGATAAAAGCATTGTCATGAGACTAGTTTTCTAAAAATGGAGGGGGAAAGCAAAAGGGCCTGTTTGTTTTCAGTCTGCAGTCAAGAAATAAAGCTCCAACCGGTACCTTCACTGTGTCCAGCGGATAACCCACTGCTGTGCTTAGACCACCTGAAACAGAGAGTGTATTGGAGATGGTTAGCAGTGCATGTTGTGACTGACCATTTTCCCCCATTGAAGGAAGGCATTAGGGGAACAGCAGAAAAATGCTGCTTCAGAACCTGGCCATGCTTGGCACCAGATCTCTCAAGATCCAGAGACAATGTCTGAGCCAAGAATGACAGAGCAAAATGCGCAGATTTCTCTGTGTGACCAAGGCACGCTCAGAGGAGGAATCTGAGCATCATGGGAAATATATCAGGAGGAATAACACCATGGTATAAGCCAGGACTGGGAGAAAGACTGAGAGCATGGCTGCAAGAAGGTTGAAGGGATGACTTGTATGATATCAAACTTCTTTTTTGCCCTCTCTTAGCTTAGGCAGTAAAGCATCTTTGGACTATGACCAAGCACCCTCATGTGAGGTACAAAGCATCCCCACTCACACAAGAAGATCTCTGGAGCAATTTTGGTTCTCCATGCTTGACTTGGAAATATTCAGGAATAAAAGCAGTGATCACAAGGACGTCTATAAAAGAGGGGTGGTCCTCAGACATTACAGGTTCTCAACAATCTGTCTTGAAGACAGCAGAGGTACTCCTGCTGCCTCCTGCATGCCAGGGACTGGACATGTCCTGGCTGAAGATTACAAAGCACATCTAGAGCCCTGGGTGAGGAATTCATTTGGCGTTAAGGTCCACAGCAGCGTCCCAGACTAAGACTCTGAAGTGTATCTCCCACGTGCACAGAATGCTGCTGCAAAAGCAGAGCAAGGAGCGAGAGCAAAGGTGGCTTGGAGCCCTGACAGGCTGGTGTGACGGCAGGGTGCAGCCCAGCCGGCAGCGTGGCTCTGTGGTGAGACCACCCGCCCGCCACCCCTCGGGGCTCAGCAGGATTAAGGAGCAGTGAGGGATTAGCGCGGGGTGAGCACAAACCCAGCAGGCCCAGGAGCACACCCCGCACGCCAGCTGAGCCTGACGGCCTGCCCGCAGCAGGGACGGTGTGTCCAGTGTACTGGGGCGCTTCGTCAATCCTCAGTCGGCACCCGGGCTCTGTTTCAGACCTTAAAATAGCCACTGGAGTTGGAAACACATTAATCCTATGAGACAAAGCTACTGCCTTAATGGAAGATACAAAAAGTAAAAGAGCTCCAACATGGACTTCTCTTGGTTGCAGTGAAAAATCGATCACCCACCATCCCTGCCCTTACCTCACTGCATTTCGCAGCTCTGATCTAAACACATCTGTTGGCAGATACAACAGACACTAAATGGGCTGACCAGCTAACTAACTTCCTCCCAGTACATCAGTGTCAAGTCATCTGAGAGGAAATGAGTCTAGGAGATGACAGAGCTGTAAGCATCTGAGTTATTTACACAGAGATCTAGTTCATAAAAGTGCTAGATAAACCCCTCAGGGAGCCAGGCAGTCATCTGTGGTTGGCTCACAGGTTGGAAACTGCCTCTCATTGAGTCCTTCTTTAAAAAAAAATTTTTAAAAGATACTTATAAATTTATTAGTTCCTGTGGGCATTTCACTAGGCATGTTCACCTGTGATTACGTGGCTGCTTCGGAGCTCTGGAAAGCTCTACTACGTTTTGGAAAAAAGCAACAGCTGCTAGTGTGAGTCACCAGGAGACAATCCCAAAGCACATTACTGAAAAGAAAACAAGCAAGAGCATCACACTTTCAGAAAAATGAGGTTTGTTCTGCAAAAATCTGTATCATATCTGCCACCAGATTAATAACAATGAAGTTGAAAAATGGGCCAAGAAGCCACCTTCTGTATTTCAAAATGAAAATGAGAACAGGCTGGAAGAGAGACAGTGATGGGGGAGTACAGAGGCAGAGTAATACAGCTCAAAGGAGCAATGACTCTGCTCTGAGCAGAGTGGCAATGCATGAAGTCACCTGGGGCCACCTGTACTCTCCCAGGTTCCCGGCCACTGGCCAGAGACACACTGCAAACATGGACCCCGCCAGCCATGGAAGAGCAGCAAATAAGTCAATGTCAGCGTGACTGTGCTGACCTCAGAGGTGCAGTCCCCTGGCCCAAGAACCCATCCCAGATGGGAGGATTTGGCATCGCATCAGTTTCAGACTTCTGAACCTTAGAGGCAGCAGATACAGGCTGACCAGACACTGCTGAGTCAGGGGCACTGTGTGCCTTGCACAGCTATGCCCAGGCTTGCTCCACCAGCCCAGGAAAGTAGGAGCCATGTCCCATGCATGTCACGTACCAAGTAGCCAACAAGATTTGGGTCAGTGTTCAACAAGAAGTGCCCTCCCTTCTGGAGAAATTGTCCTGTTCACACATTAAGGTGAGAATACAGCGACAACATGGGCAAAATAAAGCAGGTTTGCCCCAAAACAACATTTTTCCCATTGTTTCTCACTCTTAAGGGCTCCCGCTCATGTTAGGTCCAGCAAGGACCAAACATCTTGACTTGGGAGGAGATCATAAGGGTAAATTTTTCACTGCTTCCACCCCAACCCTCTGACAAATACATGCCATGAACTCTGCTTCTTAAGAGCCAAAACACTCAGGGCAGTTAAGCTGTCAGAGCTGAGGAGCTCAGCCAAGTCCACCAAAGGCTGAGGAAGAAGTGCTCTGCACAACGTCATGCAGTATAAATAGCCTGGGACAAAGACAGCATGACCCACACATGCCCTGTTTGCACAGTAGAATCAAACAAGGCCAGCAATGTATAGCATGCGTATGGGAGAAGGACCCTGTGGGACACCTGCTGAGTAATGCTGCACCAGCTGTGACAAAAATTAATTACAAAGCCAGGTGAATATCTTCACTGGGTTGTAGTTAGCCATTTTTCATGCCTAATTTATCTGATACGTTTTTAGGAATTGTGCCAAGGTTACAACATCCCCTACACACACAGTGCAGAGACAAAACTGAATTACACACAGTCTCTTCATGAGTCGGGCCACTTCAACCAAGAAATTCAAATAAGGGGGGATGCTGGCAGAGTGGACACTGCAATGGTAATCAGCAAAGAGCAAGCAGCAGCCACACAGAGTCCACCAACCTGCAACACCTCTGAGTTGCTGGCAAACCCCTGGCTGAGACACCCAAGGGAGAAGCAGGAATCATGGTCCATGCACTGGATGAGTAGACAGCAACTTCTGAAGATCTGTACTTTCTGAAGAACTGGGAACATAAGAAATGTCCCATACCCTAAACAAGATGGACTCCATCCAGTAACATGACCTCAGCAGTGGCCAGCAGGAGTTGCTTTAGCTGCAAGGACAAGGAGACAGCATGTTCCCTCTGTAGGCAGATTATACTATCTAGCCTTGGACTTCATGTGACTGCTGTGTATCCTTGCAGCAAGACGTGGAGAAGCCCAAGGCATGATGCAGACACTGCTTGGTGAACCTCCACTTCCCCTTCCCAAAACTTTACTCCTGCCATAAGAGTTAAGTCATCCCCTAGTCATCAATAGCCCTAATCTTCAATACTCATCCTCTGCCGTGGCCCAGGCTGCTGCTGTAGCAAGGCCAGAAAACACACATGGGATCATAAGAAAACTCAAGTTGGAAGGAATCTCAGGAGGCCTCTAGTCCAACCTCTACTCAGCTTTATTGCCCAGGCAGGACATCCTTACAGATGAGCTGCTTTTGAGGACATCCAGCCCCATTTGTTGGTTACCAAAAGTTTCCACAGTCATGTTTCTCTTACGTTCTTTCCAGCTGGAGTCACAGCAGGTCACTGTTTCCTGAGCTGAAGATGCTGAGCTGGTCCCATGGCCACAGAAGCAATAGCTCAGAGGAGATGCACAGTATTTGTGCAGGTGCCTGAGCCAGGCTGGATCATTACATGGGATTCAAAAGGGCAGCATCTCTGCTGGTTTTTGGAGGTGCTTAAGCCATGCTTTGTCCAAAACACTCCGAAAACCGATCAAGGTCACAAGAATGTTATTTACTAAACAGAAGGTCTGTTATTATCTGTGTTGCCTCTTGAGTTGTTTGGTGCATTTCAGATGGGTTTGTAGACTTCCTGGGAACAGGAAAACTGCTTCAGCTCTAACAAACACAAACCATGAAACAAGCTCAGCACCAAAACCATTCCAGTTCTCACAGGGAAGCTGTCCCATGTCAGTCTAGGGACCGCGGCCCTGAAGTCCTGCTCAGGTATCTCACACATGTATATGTACAAGCTCTCAGCAGGGAACAGCATGCCAGAAAACACCCCTGTCTGCCAGTGAAAAGTGCATTACCCCTCTTAGAAAAGCCCCCAGATGGACACAGATGACAGAATGGAGAATCTTGGTCTCTGACACCCTGGGGTCAGTGAAGTGCATTAAAACAATCAGACATTTCTGATCCAAGCTGGAGCTCTACAGCCTGCATCCTTCCAGGCTGAGCCCATTTCCAGAGCACCCATGGGAGATGCTTGATTCATGTCCGGGTGGCACATGATGCTGGCGCCTGAATCAGGAGGATCCACACAAATCATGGCCTCACAAAGGAGCAGGGGCAGAATACTGAGGCAAATGGCCACTTTGAAACTGTTTTCAACTATGCACATTCCTTTGCAAGAGAAGTTTATCCTTAAGGGGCTCAACTACAACTGTACCAACAAAATCAAAGGAGTCCAAGCAGCAAACGCAACTGTCACTGCCCTGCTGAGCTGAGCCCAGTCATTAACAGGAGGTGTCAGAGGAGGTTTGGTGAATCCTTCTAGGATTAATGTCCCATTGCCAGCCTCAGCACAGGGCTACCATCCCCACTGAGTACTTTAAAATCAGCAAGTAAAGAGGATAAGGCAAGCTGTCATGGAAGGGTTGGTTATATCCCCCTCTTCCATAAAGGGTCCTTCCCAAGCAGGGTCCCTCAGCACCCAGGGGAAGGCCAACACCCTGAGCAACAGGCATCTCCAGGGCTGGATGCTACTAAGATGTCAAACCTTGCCCCACTTGCACATTTTGGGTGATGAGCAATAAGGGGCTGAAGGAAAACTCAATGTGGCCCTTCCCAGGAAATGCACATCTGCACTGGGCCCACAGGCTGCTCCTGCTGAGGGAAACTGCTAAATTTTAGCAGATCTCAAAGTAAGATCTGATATGCAGGCTTAGGCTGGGCATCTTAGCCATCTGGCAGGTTTACCTGGCCTTTCTGGTACCTGTGATCCCAAGGCTCTTGTCTTGGTATTTGATACTCCACTAAATCTGACAAGATTTCAGAAAAGAAATGCGACCAGTATGTTCTTTTGTTGTTTAAAACAAAGCTGGGTTTGAGCAGTACATTCTCTAAAAATGTCTAGAATGAAATCACACTTTTTGCCTTTTACTTTTTTTATATATGTCTAACCCACTTTCCCCCAGATCAAAGCCTCTTATGTAGCACACCTGCACTGAAATTACCATCACAACTGTAAATCCATCTTAACGTAACATAATACAACGGTCATACATTCAGATCTCCTTCACTTTGAAAAGGCATGTCTCAACCCATCCCATCTCTCAAATGGCATCCTCAATCCCCCAGACACATGGCCCCAACAGCCTGCCGGGATCCCCAGGCACCAGACATGTGAGGTTTTGCTGTCCAGGCATTACTCACCAGTTTGTATCTTCATGCAACTTATTCCACTTTGTCTCTTTCTATCAGAGGTTTGCCCTGTTCCACTGCAATTAGACTGGAGGAGATTCCAGGGCAATGACCTCAGCTGACCAGATTGCACCGGTCCCTTTCCAGTAGCTCTGTGAGCCTGCTCGGATGATATTTTCCACTTAATAAAGAAGAATGCACTTTTAACAAGCAGCCTCCATCGAAAGAGTCTCAACTTTACTGTTGAGACCTGCCCATTAGCTGAACAAGAAGGAAACACAGCGATCTGCTTTCATCGACAAGCACTACGCTATGTATTTACCTCCAATGGCCCCGGCAATGAAATCCATCCAGATAGTCTGTAGCCTTAAATACCCCGATTAAACGTTAGGAAAGTAGAAGAAAGGAGGATATCAGTTCGATCTTTCCAGAGCCCTGCAGGTCCTTCAGACACAGTGTGATTTCCAATATGAATCACCTTCCTAGTGTCTCCTCTTGCCTCTGGGGATTGTGAGCCTTGTGGATACTTGATGAATTTGTACACTGGAGGCAGAGACGGGAAGCCTGGAGCTGTTCCAAGAACACAGTGAATAAGTAATCCCGTGAAGCCCTGCAACGCTGCACCAGAGCCGCTGATGCCAGTGCCTTTCTGCTTGGAAAATCACGAGGGGTGGTGCCTTCCAGGGTAACACTGGCTGTGAAGGGGCCATTCCCCGTTGTACTTATTTACCCCAGAAGACAGCCTTGCACACTTGTTTGCCAGAGGACAGTTTTGCCCTGGACCATGGCAAAGTGGCACGGGTGGCTGTGTATGAGATGTGTCCTCTCCCCATCCCCGCCCACCCTTCTTTCTTTTGATGGAGCCGACCCCCTTCCTGATAAGGAAAACTTCCTTATGCCCTTCACAAGGAATTTTCCTTGGCTTTCCTTATCCACACAGTTGGCCCTAAACCTCTACCCAGATGCCCACAAATTATTACCTGCTCATTGTGTATATGCATGGTGAAGCCCAGAAATCTAACTACATGCAAAGCATTTGCTTCCCTTTCAGACCACAGGGTAGTTTTCCCAGCCTCTGGAGGAGCTCTGTTTCTTCACTTCTTGCTCAGTCTCACAACCCCATTTCCAATGTCCTTGCTGAGTTGGTCAACAGGAATCTCTATTGCTGCTGCCCATACTCCAGTGTTTTTCCCTGCAAGGGAGATGGGAGATGGATTTTGCCAGGAGATTAATCCAGCACCTAATTTTTTATTCCTAATTTACACCCAGCACAAGGTAGTGATCTCAGCAGGGGAAAGAGAAAAGCACAGGGAAAGACCTGATGGTCAAGGGGAACCAAGAGCTCAAGAAAATGCCATATTGCCCATTTTTGCACAACAGCCCACTACCAGAGGGCTGCCACATCTACATGAGAGAGGATAAGTTTTACCCAGAGTGAACCTGGAAACCGAAGTCCTGATGCAGTGAAGGGCTTGCCAAGCCATGACCTGAATTGTCCTCCTCCTGAAAAGGTTTCCCTGGGTCAGAGCCAAGGCACATTGGCAGCAAAGGGAAAAGAAAATTTCACGGCTGCTGCCCCCCTGGGTTGGCTTCACAGAAGAGCTGAGGACTTTAGTCCCCAGTGCTGTCTCCTGCACATCTCGCAAGAGCCTCCTTCTCACTGAAGTCCGTATTTTGCATGGGCTGATGTGTCAGTGGCATGTAGCATGGTTCAGTGTGAGGGCTCAGAGTTTCTGAACTGAAAATAAAAGGATTTTTAGCAACTTTCTTCCCATAATTTTTTTACACTTGTTCCATGAGGACTTTCTGTGCTGGAGAGAACAGTTTATTCCAATGTAACATGATGCAAGCAAAAACTTAAAACCAGAAGTAAAATATTATCTAGAGAGATGGCAATGTAGTTGCTAACGTGCATTGGGTTATTCAGTAGCCCTCCCTTGTTACACCTGGTGACCATACAGGAGTTATTAACAGCTCATCAACACTCTGTACATTCCAAGTGTGGGGAAAGGTGCTGCTTCCACCTCTCCTACCAGTCATTCCTGGCTGCTGTCCTTGCAGGCTCACTCCAGCAGCAGGACCTGCTGCGTCAGTGACACACAGGGACAGGGACAAGGACACAGTCCCCTGCACAGAGGCAGCCCGGGAGCCTACAGCCTCCTGGTTCTTGCAGGAAACCTGCTGATCCACTCCAGCCCACACCACAGCAGTGACCACTACCTCCAGGACCAGTTTAGACACCCATGTTTAATACTGCTTTTCTGGGAGCTGCTTCCAGGAAAGGTGAAGAAATTAATTATATTCCCAATATGAAAGTGTCACCATGCGTTTGTTCCCTCCCATCACATGGCTGGGGTTGCCATGTGTGGGGTGGGATTTCTCTACATATTGCAGTGACTGGTGCAATAGCAGCAAGAAAATAGAGACTGGCTGGCATGTCACACTGGCTCACTTTAAGTGTCAGGGCTAATAAGTATTTCCCATTAAATGTCACAAGACCAAGCAAAATGTCTACCTTCTCTAGCTGAGCTGAACAGCTCAAGAGGACTCTTCCTCATGAAGGCTTCTGAGATTGCAAAAAACCCCCAACCAACACAAAAGCCTTCCCTTTGCAACAGAAAATTAATCCTATTTTTATTATTTTAACTTTCATTCACAATAACACTTCTAACAAAATGCTAGTTTACATAGCACAAAGCTGACTCCAGATTCAAGCATTTTGATAACTTTCTGATAATTATTTTGGTCACTTCAATCAGGTATACCAGAAAGTCATGTCTTCCACTTGACTGGAATTTCTCTGCAAACATAGGTCATTCAGAAAGTGACCATCTGAAAGAAGAATATTTCTGGACTTGAGACATTTCACCTTGTCCTGTGAAGGTGTCGCTGGGGGCAGTGGCTCTGGAAGAATGCACACATGCAAGTACTTCAGGGACATTTGTCTCAATGGGGACTTAGCAGGGTAAGATGAGCCCCAAGCAAACATTGTCACCTCTACTGTAGTCTCCAGTCCTTTGCTCCTGGTGTCTGGACAGGACTCAGAGGCAAATAACATCCACTGCCATGCTCACCAGCTGTGTGTGACCCGCTCAGCCCAGCCGTCATGTGGCAGTGGTGAGGACAGAACCCCAGAAGAGGAGCCCCACACAAGTTTTGAAGTGTTCACACATGAGCAAGTAGGGAGGAAGTATAATTCAGCATGAAGGAAACCCTGCCTGAGAAATGAAACCTGTGTTACTGCATTTTCTGTTACTTATTGGCATGCCCTGAACAGTGCAGACCAACTCCCTGCTAAAGAGAGCAATCCTCTAGGCATCAATTCAGACTCCCTTACCAGGAGTGCTCCTAGAGACATAGAGTCCTTGAGGTCTCACTGTCCTTCATGCCTTGGTGAAGGATCTTCCTCCATCATCGCCTCTTCCCCAGGTTTCAGAGATATACCAGCTCTCAGATAGCAGCCTCATTAGAAACACCACAGTCCAGCCCCCCAAAGCCACAGGTCAACAGAGACAGTCCAAAAAACCCAGCCCAAAGAAATCTTCGATTATCAGGAAGATCTTCAAGACCAAATATGAGTCATTCCTGTGACCCTTTGACACAATGTCCATGGACTGACAGAGATCACTGCTAGTCCAGCTTTCAAAGAAATGCCATGGTCCATACCTATGCAGGGATGAGCAAAAGTGCCTGGTCTCAACACAGGTGGTCTTCTTAAAGCATGCCCTAGTAAATGGCACACAAAATGCATGCTTTGAGCCTCCACAAGAGATAGTACTCCACTAGAAATAAATCACAAGTCTTTTCCTCCAGTAGCAAACAGTTTAAGAGTGATTTGTTCAAAATGGGTGAATTTGACAGGGGGCTGAGAAAGCAGAGTGTGGAAGGTGCTGTCAGATCAAAAGACAGATCTGACAATATGAAGCAATCTGCAGGAAATGATGAAATCAAGTGACAGAAAAGCAAAGAAAGCCTTAGTTTTGCACAGTGCATGATAGATGAAACACTCCATTTGCTTCACAGGAGGAGACAGCTGTCTGCCTACACAGACAGAGAGAACTACTCCACAGCCAAAGTGACAGCGGGGTTAGAGGACTGGTACAAGTGTATGGAGGAAAAGGAAAGGTGGAGAGGGAGACCTTAGGTAGGTAATCGATATTAAATACCATTTTTTATGTGAGACAAAAAAGCAGGGGTATCCCTTTACCCCTTTCCTTTCACAGCTCACTCCTGGGACTTTACCAACTCCATACATACTGCAAAGTGAAAGAGAAGCCTTTGCAGCCACCTGCTAGTTTGTCAAGAAAATGCTCCTGCTTCATTTCCTGCCGTAACATTTTCTATTCCCCTCATGCCATGCAATATCACATTCACATGCATATCCATTAATTGCCATCCAATTTATTTTGGAAAAATCCTTGACTGAAGAGACTGTTCAAACAGCGTTACCCCGCTACGTCACTGGGCTGTTTGCACATTGCGGAACAGGAAGGAGTGACACCAGCAATGCTGAGCTGGCAGGGCCTGGCACTTGGCTTGCGTGGTGGGGGGTGGAAAGGGGGGTGGAACCTCCTGGCTCCAGCTGTGTTACAGACTTTCAAATCAAAGTGTCTCATTGTCCTTTATCTCAGGTACTAATGAAAAACCAATAATTCCAAGGACTCAAACATTCACAGCAGGCGTTTCACAGCAAAACAAACAAAACCGGTAAGGAAACCACTCTGAGCATTGGCAGCTGCATCACTTTTAACCAGATATAGGTGATCAGTGATTACAGCTCTGGACAGCTGATGTAATGTTTCTACATGCATTTCCAAGGGAAGGGAAAATAATACATTTCCTAGAGGATTGAAGATGATTGCAGTAATTTAAGAAGTGGCACAGTTTTTGGCTTTGGGCAAGTCATTCAATCTCCCTATACCTAATCTCCCATCAGCACAACTGGTGTGTTGTATGTCCACTGCCATGAAGTCACTGCAAGGATTCAGGCACTTCTCAGAGAGCCACAAGTCTCTGTTCAGGAGTAAATCATGGGAAAAGCAGAAACATCTGCATGGAAGCAGAAACATTAGCAACCACTCTACACAAACACCCATGTGAAAATATACATTTCTTATTTTTTACAGTAAGAAAGAGGAAATGTGACAGTGTACCACCACATCCAAGTCCAGGAAAGGATTTTATGTCAGCTGACATCACTAGCACTTCGGAAGGACTCCTGGCTCTGATGGAGGGAGGGAATGTCAGGACTGTTACTGAATATTCAATTGCACTTTGAGCCTCTTTCCAACTTCTTGCACATTTTATGCACTTTAA